ATTTTATGTGTATGAGTGTATTGCCTGCATGTGTATAAGTACATCCATGTCGTGCAATGTTTGTGGAGGTCAGAAGACATCGGATCCCCTGGAACTGAAGTTATGGACAGTTGTTAGTTGCCATGTGGGTGCTGGGAATCAAACCTGGGTCCTCTGCAAGAGCAATCAGTGCGCTTAACTGCTGAGCCATTTCTCCAGCCCCTCATTTTAATTATTTTGATGATGCTGACTCTTTTTTTTTTTTTTTTGGTGTTTTTGAGACAGGGTCTCCCCTTAGCCCCAGCCGACCTGGAACTCACTATGTAGATCAAGCTGGCCTTGAACTCACAGAGACTTACCTGCATCTGCCTCCCGAGTGCTGGGATTAAAGGTATGCACCACCATGCCTGGTGACTCCATATTTAAAAGCTCAAGTTTAACTTTTATTATTCAAGTTAGTGTTAATATAAGAATAAGTTACAGCTGGGCATGGTGGCGCACACCTTTAATCCCAGCACCCAGGAGGCAGAGGCAGGCGGATCTCTGTGAGTTCAAGGCCAGCCTGGTCTACATAGTGAGTTCCAGGACCACTGGGGCTACAGGGAGACCCTGTCTCAAACACACACACACACACAGAGTGACTCTTTTTATAAGACCTGGGTGGTTATCATTATATTGTCCATTTACAAGTATTTATAGTTCTCACAGAACATTTTCTGAAATAATTTGTTTAATTAATATTGTCTCTGATGCATTCATCTTAATTTTTAGCCACAATCACTTGAAGCTCTGACAGTTGAACAAGTTCAGGATGATGTAGAAATAGACTCTGATGACCATACAGATGCTTTTGTGGTAAGGATGGAAAAGAACTATTACATTTCTTGTGATTTGTATCAGAGTCATGTTTAATTAAATAATGGTGTAACTGTGTGAAATGTAAAATTTGAGACTTTAAAAAATATTTTGTTTTTTTGTTTTTGGTTTGTTTTTTTTTTTTGTTTTTTTTTTTTTTTCTTTTTGAGACAGGGTCTCCCTGTAGCCCCAGCTGACCTGGAACTTGCTATGTAGACCAGGCTGGCCTTGAACTCACAGAGATCTGCCTGCCTCTGCCTCCCGAGTGCAAAACATTTTGTTCTTTTTAAAAAGCATTTTATTATTTTTCTTTTATATGTATGAGTGTGTTGCCTGCATGTGTGTAAGTGCACCCATGTCATACAATGCCAGTAAAAGGCAGAAGAGGGCGTTGGATCCCCTGGAACTGGAGTTATAGACACTTGGTAGCACATGTGGGTGCTGGGAATTGAACCCAGATCATCTGCAAGAACAGCCAGTGTTCTTAACTGCTGAACCATCTTTCCAGCCCCTAAAGTTGGGACTTTTGACATGAGTTTAAGGGAATTTTTTTTAAGTGACTCATGATTTTATTGTCTTCATTACACAATCAGCTTAGAACTGGCTCACTTGGCTCTTTCTCTTCTCACCTCCCAGTCCACAATGCTCACATCTCTTAATAGCCAGCCTTCTCTTAGGTCTAGAGTTGGGCTCAACACACTCCAGCCCCACCATAATCTTCTTTTTGCAGAAAATAGGCTTAGTCTGCCCACCATAGCCATTCTGTTTCCTGTCATATCGCTGCTTTCCCTGGGCATATAGAGAATCCTTGCCCTTCTTATACTGTGTCACTTTATGGGGCTGGTACTTCCACATTTCTTGCAGAAAGTCCAGCAGGTTTTAGGAACAGTCACCATGTTTGTGGGAGCGCCAGCAGCAGCACAGAAAGCAAATTTTTTTTTTTTTTTGGTCTTTTTGAGACAGGGTCTCCCTGTCAGTCCTGGAACTCACTATGTAGACCAGGCTGGCCTTGAACTCACAGAGATCCGTCTGCCTCTGCCTCCTTATGAGGGAATTTCTTTTGTGAGAATACTTTTAAATTATTAACTGAGGAAATAGTTTGAGAACAATTTAGAGGATTTGATTTATGGTATGAAAATATTTTTCATACTTTAAAATAATAAAGAATGTTAAAGATAGCTAATTAAATTTATTTTAAAACTCTCCATAATTAATCTTTATGAAATGATTTTCCTTACTCTACAGTGTTTTAGAAGGATATGTATTTGAGCAACTACTTTCTTATTTCCAAACAGGAATTATAATTAATACCCATATAAAAATAATGCTTCTTGCATCCTTTAGTCTATGAATCTGACCATAACACACCCCCCTAACAAATAGTTTTAAATAAAGATGTGCCTGCCCATGGAGACCAGATGAGGGCATTGGCTCCCATGGAACTGGAGTTACAAATGGTTGTGAGTCTCCATGTGGGTGCTGGGAGACGAACCCAGGTCCCCTGGAAGAACAGGATATGCTCTTAAGCCCTGAGCCATCTCTCCAGCCCAAAATATTTAATTATAAAATAACATTTTTCCAGTTGTGTGCTGACATATTGACATGCTGCTTGCTTTGCTGTTTTGTTTCTGGGTTTTTTTGTTGTTGCTTTGTTTTGATTGGATTTTTGGTTCGTTTTGTTCGCATTTATTTTGCATGTGTGGAAGTGCTCTTGCAGAGGTTAGAGGACATATGGAAGTTAGAAGACAACTTTCAGGAGTTGGTTCTCCCAACATGTGGGTCCCTAGGATCAAACTCAGGTTGTCAGGCATAACTGTCTTGCCAACCCTATTTTGCTTTTTGAGCTAGGGTCTCATATAACCCAGGCTGGCATAGAATTCACTATTTAGCTAATGCTGGCTTTGAACTCTTGACCCTCTCGCCTCCAAACCTGAGTGCTGGGATTATAGCCATCGCACCCAGCCTTTGTACCTATTTTGCCAGCATTTTCTAAACCAAAGTAGAGAAGAAATTTTATAGTTCCCAAGACATTCTTTTTATTTTCCTTTCAAGTTAACAATGTTATATTAATTGTAGGGTTCAAGCAACTCTTATAGACGATACTGGCATAAGAAATTTTGGTGCCAGCATTGTAGATAGGTGAGAGAAACCATTAAATGCACAGCAACTGAATGTGAAACATGCTTAGTTATCAAATCTTTCTACAAATAATTACCTATTCCTTAGACCACTTAATGTATTATATATGAAGCAAGTAAACTATAATTTCCTTTGTCTTACAGGCTTATTTTGCTGATGGAAATAAGGTAAGGACATTTTACCTAGTTAATTTTTTAAGTTTCTATATTCCAACATTTAACATTCATTAACTTATGTGAAACATATTTTTTTTCCCTCTTCCTTGCCCACCTTCTATTCCTAATTTGATCCTTTTCCCTTCCTGAAAGCAACAAGATCGGGAACCTGTATTTTCAGAAGAACTGGGGCTTGCAATAGAGAAACTGAAGGATGGATTCACACTGCAGGGACTTTGGGAAGTAATGAGTTGATCTTGAGTTGAGCTGGATTTCTATTTAAAGATATCTCAAGATTAAAGTACCACTTACCTGCTATAAGGCATGGAATAGTTTTTAAAGATTTTGAGAAAGTTTTTTAATAATTAAAGAAAAACTTCTTAATTTTAGAAAACTGCTAGTTTTCTAAAAATTATATTTAAAGTTGTAATTGAAATGTATCTGGTTTGTAAATGTTTATATTGTACCTAATACTTGTAAAGTATTAGTATTAGTTTTCAGATATTAAGTGACTGTATCATGTTAAGTTTAATAAAGATTTTATGCAGCACCACTTAATGTTTTGAAAGTATTATTTAAAAAGAATAAAACCATTCATAAGAAATAATCAGATACTCCTTAATTATAAAAATCTGGTTTAAATATATTATCACAGGACTCCAAATGTAAGCAAACTCTAATACAAATTACAGTTCTTAAATATGTCGTTTTTAAGGGCTCATTTATATAAAAATGAAATTTTTAACTGTGGTATATATCATTACAGAATTCTAGTCTATAAATAACTTCAATCATTTTGATAAAATGTATTTGTATTCACTGAAACTTCTTTAAAGATTTCTCGGTTTAATAAAATTTGATGACCTCTCTGACATCATTCAGTGGTTTTTAGCTACTGTGTCAGTTTTAAAAGCATTGTACAAAATCTTTGACAAATAACTATAATTAGCCAAAGGAGTCCTCTTTCACTAGCAGGAAAGGAAGGAGCTTTAAATACATTTAAAGTAAGATGCAATAATGTGTACAACCATAGACGCATTCAGTATAGCCTCGTGCTACCCTGGTTTATTAAAAATCAATAAAAGTTACAAATGGCTTTCTTCATCTAAATGGAAAAGGATTTCTACATACTTAAGAGACAGAGTTATAGTAAACACTGTTTGGAGATCATAAGTAAAACGCTGCTATAAATATTGTTTACTGCTTTTCAAGCAAATGCCTACCAGTAAGGAATAATCTCAAACGTCATATCCCGGTGTTTGCATCTGACTCACTGATCTTTTCAAATGTTAGGTGTTACATGTCGAAATGAATCATTTATTGTTTAAACAAGGGTGCAGCTGTTAGCTTTTTTTCTAGTGTGTTAAAACCTTTAATGACATCTATAAATGGAAAAAGAATCAATGAGCTCTTCTTTCAGCTGTTGTTTTAGCAGCTGACAGTACCGTTGACTTCATGTGATGTAAAATAAAAGAAAAAAGCCCTTACTCATGGAGCGACATCTTGAAGCTTGAAATTATGTATTTCTCTGATTTGGGATTTTTTATTCATTCAACAAATATTTATGGAGCATCCATGCGGCCTAGGGACCATAGATTAAACAGCACAGAGCTCAGAAACAAAAGCAAAATCTTGTTCTTTGTTACCTTATGTTTGGGGAGGGACATTTCAGAATACTAACCATTGAAATTTTCACATTTCTTTAGCCCTACTTGGTTCAGAATATGATCATGTAATAAAGTGTTTCATGAATAAATGTGTGATACTATCTATATATAAACAAAGGAACAGTTTGCCGTGGGGAGGAGTGTGACAGGGTCTCATATAGCCTAGGCTAACCTCAAACTCACTATGTAGTTGAGGATGATCCTCTTGTCTCCACCTCTCAAGGTACTGGGATGACGTGTGTGCCACTACACCTGGCTAGGATCAGTTCTTAAAAATCACAACTTCTAAACCCAGTGTGTTGGCACACACCTTTAATCCCAGCACTCAGGAGGCAGAGACAAAGAGATCTCTGTGAGGTTGAGGCCAGCCTGGTCTGCATAGCCATTTCCAGGCCACCTGGGGCTATAGGGAGACCCTGTCTCAAAAAACAAGAAAAAAAATCACTTCTTCATTCTATAATTAATATGCTGTTTCATTATAATCAGCAACATAAATTGATTCCAGTATACATAATTTTTTAATAAGGTCTGTTTTATCAATTGTATAGGTGATACAACATTCGTCCTGATCTTTCCCTGTCCTGGTACATTGTTCTGTGGGGTTCCATGGGTTCTATTTTTTTTTTTTTTTTAATATTGTACTTTATGAGAGGTACTTTCAGCACTTAAAGTTACCAAGTACTCCTAATGACCATAGTTGTGTGTATGTGGGTTTTTTCTTTCCCTAATGACTTTTAACTATTTTTCCTCTGGTCTTAATTTCTTTATAAACTACCCTTTGTTTTACTTTTTTGTATTATTGCTTGTCACTTCAAATCCCTTGCATAGCAAGATGGAGTGCAAATGAATTTTATAATTTAATTCGGCAGTAATTATACTTTTCCCACCTAATAAGATGACTTAGAATATCTTAGAAAATTAATAGTTTCTCTGCATTTGTTATTTCAGTTATGATGGAAGTATTTAAAAGGTGTTATAAAACCACTTATAATACTTAAGTAAACATCTTTAAGTTTCCTATTTCAAAAAGAAGAATCTACATCCCACTGTTTTGAGTAGAATATAATATTTGTGTTTTAAATTATTGGACAGGGGACCTTGCTTTGGAGAATTTAAATGAATTTACCTCATATTCTTGACCTTCATGTCATTAATCCAGAGTCACGTAGCTTGCCCCTCCACCATTTAGAGGAGTGACTCATTTTTATGATTCATTTTTCTGTTAGTTCAGGAAACATTTTCTGGTGGTAACGTTATGCACTCCAATGCCTTCTGAACTTTAAAGCTTTGTACTCGCGTCTTGTTTCTTAGCAGTTTCCTTGGTGATCAGAAGTTCCAGTTGTTACTTTCAATCTGCAACAGCTGAACAACTCTTCTTTCCAAACCAGCTCTCCTAAATTCCCGTTGTTAGACTTGGTGTCTATATTTAGCAGGTGGGATTAAGTTGCAAGGCTTCAGGCTGCCCAGAGCACACTAATCTGCCTTTTTACAGCTAGACCCGTGTGCTGCGAGGAACTAAGGCCTTCAGTGTCCCCTTCCTTACCCAGGTTTCTCACAAAATGGATTCCCAGCGGGAACTTGCAGAAGAACTGCGGCTTTACCAATCTACCCTTCTTCAGGATGGTCTAAAAGATCTCCTGGAAGAGAAAAAATTCATCGACTGCACCCTAAAAGCAGGTGACAAAAGTCTTCCTTGCCACAGATTGATTTTGTCAGCTTGTAGCCCTTACTTCCGTGAGTATTTTTTGTCTGAAATGGAGGAGGAGAAAAAGAAGGAGGTAGTATTAGATAACGTGGATCCTGCTGTTCTTGATTTAATCATCAAATACCTGTACTCAGCCAGTATTGACCTCAACGATGGAAATGTGCAAGACATCTTCGCCCTGGCCAGCCGCTTTCAGATTCCCTCTGTGTTCACTGTCTGTGTTTCTTATCTTCAGAAAAGACTGGCTCCCGGTAACTGTCTAGCCATTCTGAGATTAGGACTTCTTCTTGACTGCCCGAGACTTGCCATTTCTGCCCGTGAATTTGTGTCTGATCGCTTTGTGCAGATTTGTAAGGAAGAGGACTTCATGCAACTGTCTCTACAGGAACTGATCTCAGTCATTTCAAATGACAGTCTAAATGTAGAAAAGGAAGAAGTTGTCTTTGAGGCAGTGATGAAATGGGTGCAAACAGACAAAGAAAACAGGGCAAAAAATCTTAGTGAAGTGTTTGATTGTATTCGTTTTCGCCTTATGGCAGAAAAATATTTTAAAGATCATGTTGAGAAAGATGACATAATTAAAAGCAACCCAGAACTCCAGAAAAAAATCAAAATTCTAAAAGATGCTTTTGCAGGCAAACTCCCAGAACCTAGCAAAAGTGCAGAGAAGACAGGGACTGGTGAGGTGAACGGTGATGTTGGTGATGAAGACTTACTTCCTGGTTACCTGAATGATATTCCCAGGCATGGGATGTTTGTTAAAGATCTCATCCTCTTGGTTAATGACACAGCCGCAGTGGCTTATGATCCCACAGAAAATGAGTGCTACCTTACTGCTCTAGCTGAGCAGATCCCCAGAAATCATTCCAGTATCGTTACCCAACAAAATCAGATTTATGTGGTGGGAGGACTGTATGTGGATGAAGAAAATAAGGATCAACCTCTACAGTCATACTTCTTCCAGGTAAGGACTGTTTTTATATAAGCAGAGGCATAAGGAGGGGGTTAAGGTTAGGGTCAGGTTAACCATCCAGTTAGCCACTTAGAATCTAACTACTGTTAGCTAGTCTTCAGGCGGCTTGCGTATTATTCTATTTGATAGCTTGTTTGTCCCCCTTGTATTTTTACACATAAGTGTTTTGATAGAAACATTTGATTGTTGATATTTAATAAAAGATATGAAGGATGTCCTAATATTTAACCCACAACTCAAGATTTTCTTTCTACTCTTTTAACCTAAATAGTATGTAAATTCTGGGTGGCAATTATAATCCTTCAAAGTTCAATATTTTCTTAAAAACTAAATTGATGATCTTTGACACTATTACCTGAAAAACAAATTAATATCTTTCCCTAAACCAAATTATCTCCCTCTACTAAAGTACTTTATACATTAAAAGGAAGTAATTGTCTTATTTTCTAGTTTTTTCCAAGTGTCCTTTTTTCCTTTAATCAGATATTCTTAGAGGTAGCATTTCACTTATCATTTATTGTTACTGTCTAAAATACTCTGTTGAAAATGACAGAACTTTTGTACATATTCTGTACACTTTGAATTGTCTTACCAACAAAAACTGCCTTCTTAAGTGCCATTCATTTGAATTACATTTAGAAGGTTTTGTTTATACCATTACATTTATTTGGGTCAAAGTTAGAGTTCAACATTTTTAGAACTTAATAATCTGTCTGATGTAACCATAAAATTTCCCAGGAAAACAAATCCTCAAAAACTAACAGATCCTCTGTGGTTTGTTTGAAGAAGTTTGTTTCACGCTGTCAGTCCACTGTGCCCAGCAGTTTCTGAAGCAGTCAGTGACTCACCTGTACCTTCAGTATTGCCAATAGCAATACTTTGTGGGTTTTAATTAGCTCTTAATAGAGTTTGCTTAGGTCATAGCTAATCATGTCCTGGAGCTTATGGGCACTTAAGTTGGAAAGGCCAAAGATAAATAAGTGTAGAATGCCATACCAGTCACTCATTCTCAAAATGCATAACATGCCATGTGGTCCACAAATCCTACCATTATCCAACTTTTTCAAATCTTAGAAAAATATCAACGTTTCTTAATTTTCAAAGTTTCAGTGAAAAATGTTATGAAAAGTATTTGAATGTGAGCCAGAAAACTCTTTAAGCCCTAATTTCAAATTCAGATTAACTGTAAAAAGAGAAAATTCAATGAAAAAGACTATAAATATAGTCTTTTAAATCAAAACACAGGTAGGTAGGTAGGCAGAAAGACAGATAGGATAGACAGCTATATAATCATATAGCCAAGAAATAGTTACAGCAAAGAGTATTTCCTCAAAATTCCTAGGGTTTTTATTCCATTTCATGTTAGTTTATTGACTATAGTGCTGGGGATGGAGCTCAGTGTTGAGAGTTTACTTACCATGCCAAGGCTCAGGGTTTAAGCGTGCCCCCTCATTCTCTCTCTCTCTCTGTCTCTCTCTCTCTCTCTCTCTCTCTCTCTCTCTCTCTCTCTTTAAAAAAAAATATATCCACAGCCCACACTGTTTACTTTCAAGTATTTGTTTTACTCTTTATTCTCTTCATCCTGTCACTTCCCTTTACCTTTACTGGCATGGCTTCATATCTCCAGGTCAAAAAAATCTGCCTGATGTTCATTAAAGCTACTGAAATGGTTATACAAAGTTGGAAGGTCTACTCCCTGGCATGACCCATACTTTGCCACTTCTAAAAGGCACAAACATCAAACAAGATGCCAGGTTTAAAACATTTGACCATAAAAGAGAGCTTTCACTCACAAAATATTTGTATGAGAATTTCATATTTTGGATTTTTCTGCTTGGCTACATGTTTAAAATGGGTTAAATTACAAGTAATTTGGCACTTGACTGTATGCTGTAGATAGACTCTGAGGATTTTTAGCCTCACTAAAAGAGGTTTGCTTTCTCTCCTTCATGGAATTAATAGATGCATCAGATTTTTAGACAGCACCAAGATTTTAATTATCTAGGTATAAACCCTAATTTTATCAGCAAGGAAAGTGTAACCTAGAGATGTCAAATAGCTTGACAGCTCATGTATAAAAGAGACCAGCTGGCAATCTACTGATTGTCTGCTATAGAAAGTGCTCACAGAGTAATATAGAAAGGCAGGTGCTACACAATACATTATGGGAACTGGGTTCTCAGGTTTGGGATTGTGATAGCTGTTGTTCAATTAAAAAAGAAAAAAACTACAGATTTAGACAGCATGGTATTGAATACCACATTAAAGCCCTATGAACTGGCTTTATTAATTAAAAATTATTGGCAAATTATTTAATCTTTCTGAGCCTTGGTGTCCTCATTTATAAATGGAGATGATAAGAGTGCATGTTTTGGAAGACCAAATGAGACCAAATGATCTAAGCATTTTGTACAAAGCCTGTCAAAGAGTCAAAGTTCCATAAGTGTTTATTATTACTTCTACTCTGTTGCATACTACTTTGGAGGAGGGACTGTGCTAGGAATCAAACCCAAGGCTTCCCAAAAGCAAGGAAAGCATGAGCCTACTAAGTTATACTCCTAGCCCTATGCCACCTTCTTGATCAAAGATGTTTTTCAAAAATGAAAACATTACAGATCACAGACTAGATGTTGAAATGAGTGAATATAAAGCAGCAATGCTCATGTGGGGATGAAACCCACGTTGTGCCATGGATCTGGTCTTACTGCTTTGTTTAACTGACATTACAGGACCGGAAACAGAGGGGCTTTCACAGATCCCCTTCCATATCAATACCACTGTCTTTGCTAGTCACAGCTGTCTTTGGTATCCAGTGAATCTCAGTTTTACCTGCTTCTCCTCTGCTACCTGGAAGTGGCACAGAGAGACAAACAGATGTGCAGCTGTACTCTCCAAAAAAGAGTTTTCTTGTTCCTTGTTGTCCTAAAATGCAAAGTGAAAAATCTTAAAGATTTCAGATAGTAAGTGCTAAAATAGATACCAGCCAGGCCAGAATAAACCCCTCCCAGGCATGTCACTAACAGGGTCACTGTAGGCTCACTACAAGCCAAGTTACTTCTCAATATAAATCAGAAAAAGAAGGCTCTTTAATGACTATCCCCCAAACTAGGAAATTGAAATTAAGATTTTCCTGTATCAAAAACAATAAAACACAGGGAACCTAGACATATTTAAAAGAAGAATGAAAAATGACACTGGCTAATCTCCCAGTTGTCTGTGGACTGAGCGACAGGTCCAGCTGTCCTGGCTACTGGCTTTGGGAGCATGTTATATATAGCATTCGGGGGTTATTCACATTGCATGACCCTCCCTGCTATGACACTGTTTTAAAAGTATTGAACTAGGCAACTTCAGAAGAAAATTTGATAAGAAACCTCGCAGTTCTAATCAACCTCTAGTGATTCTATTTTATTCTCTTTCCTTTCTTGAAGTCTTGATTTTTTTGGAATTTGATTTTCTTAGGCCAAATAGCTTTTCTTTTTTGGTAATTCTGAGCTAAATATGATACTTTGGGATTGTAGTTTTACAAGACCTTTGGCTCTGAAATTTTTAAGCACATATAAAGTAAAGCATACTTTTTGATACACCTGTAACATTTTTCTACTAATTTCCACAATTCTCCATATTTTTTTCAGCTTGATAACATAACATCCGAATGGGTTGGACTTCCACCTCTACCTTCAGCCAGGTGTCTCTTTGGTCTGGGAGAGGTAGATGACAAAATCTATGTGGTTGCTGGCAAAGATCTTCAAACAGAGGCTTCGCTGGACTCAGTATTACGCTATGATCCTGTGTGAGTTGGTATATCACTCCTGTTCTTTAAGCATGCCTGCAACAAATTCCTATTTTCACAACCTCAAATGTAAATTCTTTCATCTAATTTTAGGGCTGCAAAATGGAGTGAAGTAAAAAACCTCCCTATCAAAGTCTATGGCCATAACGTGATTTCACATAATGGGATGATATATTGTCTAGGCGGAAAGACAGATGACAAGTAAGTGTCCTGAAATTTCCTTGTGATTATATACGAACAAGTTATTACAAGGGTTTCTTCCTATTTTCTTTTGAGACTACATATGAAATAGGACTTGGTTTCTCACATCATATTTTGCAGATAAAAATTCAAAATAAAATTCTAAAGTCATGGGAGAATAATATAAAATATCATAATTTTACTATTAGTTATATATAAAGGAAAATGATAGCATTGAAAGGTTACCAAAGCCAATATGTAGCATTCTACAAGGATGAGCATTAAGACTTCAATCATAAGCATCCTGACAGTGGAAAAGCAGCATCTAGAGCACAGTCCAGTTTTTTATTTAGCTGGTTTATGATCACATTTTACTACATAAAGACCAATGCAATGGACTTTCTTATTCAATTATCCATAAATAAAAAATTTAAATTTATGGGGCTGGAGAGATGGTTCAGCTGTTAAGAACACTTGCTGTTCTTTCAGAGGATCCTGGTTTGAGTCCCAGTACCCATATGATGGCTAAGAACTGCCCATAACTCAGTTCCAGGGGATTAAACGCCCTCTTCTGGACTCTGTGGGCATTGCATAACATGGGTGCACTTACATAAAAGCAGGCAAAACACACACATGAAAATAAAATTTTTTAATTTTATTATTTGTGTGTGTGTGTGTGAGAGAGAGAGAGGAGAGAGAGAGAGAGAGACAGAGAGAGACAGAGAGAGACAGAGAGAGAGAGAGAGAGAGAGGTATGTGTAGGCACACATGCCACAGTGCACATTTTGAGGTCCTGGGGATCAAACTCAGGCTTGAGACTCAGAAACTTTTATCTTCTAAGCCTTCTTATCAACCCCAGTAGATAAAATTTAAAATATATTCTTTAATGCTGTATTTAAAATATATACACTAGAACAATAGTGCATAGATAATACTGTAGATTTATACTTTATAAGAGGGAACTTAGATCATTTTGAAACTGAAAAGCATAGTTATTAAAAAGAATGCAGTTATTTCTTCAGCAACATGTTGGTTACTCACTTCCTGACAGAAATGATGTTCAGGCACTGATCAACCAGAGCAGACACTGCCAGCTCTCCCACTCACTAGTTACATATAGTCTTGGGAGAAAACCAAGATGAAGTTTCATATATGAACCCAACTTGATTTCTAGGCAGTCTTCAAAACACAGGCAAAGAGATCTTAGAACTCAGAGAGGAAGTATAAATTCAGAGTGCTCCAGATATAGGTTAAGCCAGTAGTGTGGCTGGCAAATGATCACCTTCAGTTTACACTGTGAAATTTCTTGTCCCTGAAAACTCGGCCTTTGATTTGGGTTTTTCATTTATCCAGGCTGATTATTAATACAGATGTCCTGGAAAGGAAATCAAAAATATTAATTTTAAGGGAATAGGGTTGGCCACAGTGACATGCACTTGTAGTCCCAGCTACTTGGGAGGCTGAGGCCAGAAAATCACTTAAGTTCAAGACCACCTAGGCAACATAGTAAGACCCCATCTCAAAACACAATAAAAAGAATTAGGCAGAGAAGAAGAGGATTCAAATATGGATTTATGTTAAAAGTAAAGAACTCTATATTCTGGAGTAATAATGGTTTTATTCGATTAAAATGATACAGAAAATATGACATAAAAAGCCATGATTTTTATTCAATCTACCCATACTCAAAGACAATATATTCTGAAATGTTTATCTCTTCCTTAATCCTTGCTATTTCCATCAAATGAATATTTAAGGAATGTACATTATGAATAAACTCAGTGCCAGATCTTTTTTTTGGGCATTTTCTCTGAATAAATGGAATGAAAAATTTCTATTAAGCTTGTTCTGACTTTGGAAACTTCAGAATTCTGCCAAATGATTTGAATTGTTTCCTTCAAATAGCGTTAGTAACTAAGGAAATTGATATGTCAAGAAGCAGCACACCAGTCTTGCCAGTAATAATAAATTAATCCTGAGAATCTGATTACCTAGACAGCATTGCTTAACAAATGTCAAAATAAAGAACTTTGAAATGAATCATTAGGCTAAAAGTAAGGGCTAGCACTAGGGATGTAGCCTAGCAGTAGTTTCCTAGCATGTGAGAGGCCCCGAATTCAGTCCCCAGTACTGGAAAAATAAAATGACTGAACTGCACTAGTTACCTCTAATGAATGAGAAGAATATGATTTTGTAATCTGCTCTTTACCAAGATGCTTTCCAGTGACACGCGTAGTCAGGTCTTAGAGGAAATGCTCATATTCCAAGTCTGGTCTTTTATAAGAAAAAATTATCCTCACAAAAGGGTTTTTGTTTCTTGTCATTACCAAATGTATTCACCTAATAGTCATCATTGATATATTATTATTTATTATTTCTCAATTATAGATAACTTTAAGGAACCCTAAAGTCCATACTGAGAACAATTTTGATGAATCCAAGTCTTTTTCTGGTATTTAGTGCATAAAACTTTTTTCATCATTCATCAGACCACATGACTACTTATCTAATCTACAATCTCAAAAAAATTTTTTTGATACAGGGTCTTATGTACTCCAGGCTGTACTCACTAGGCAAAACTCTTTTCTTTTTTTTCTTTTTTTCCAGGGCTTGAACTCAGGGCCTCACAAATGCTACTCTACCACTGAGCTGCATCCCCAGCCCCAGACAGTCCCAACTGTCTTTTAAATGAAGTACTATGTACTTCATGTACTTTTTGCTTTCACAAAAAGAATGTTCTAGGGCTGAAGAGATGGTACAGCAATTCAGAGAACTGGCTGCTCTTGCAGAGGACCCAGGTTCAATTCCCAGCACCCACATGGCAGCTATCAGCCGTCCATAACTCCAGTTCCAGGGGAATCCGACTCCCTCCTCTGATCTCCTTGGGCATTGCAGGACATGGGTGCACTTACAAATATGCAGGCAGTACACTCATACACATAAAAATAATAAAATATTTTTTAAAAGAATGTTCTAAAAGAAATGTTTGCTTTCTTTTTATGTTTACAGAAAGTGTACAAATAGGGTGTTTATCTATAACCCCAAAAAAGGAGACTGGAAAGATCTGGCTCCAATGAAAACACCTCGTTCCATGTTTGGAGTGGCAGTCCATAAAGGCAAAATCGTGATTGCAGGAGGTGTCACCGAAGATGGCCTTTCAGCTTCAGTTGAAGCTTTTGACCTCAAAACCAATAAGTGAGTTGCTTTACTACAGGATTGGAATCACTGTACATTTGTTACATTTGGATAGCAATACGCTTTCTAACCAAGACCTGAGGAGGGGAAGGCAGAGAAGCCATAGGTTAAAGAGGAAATATTTCCAGCTGGGCTTCTTCTGCCATTATGGGCTATAAAACTCTAGGTGTTTGTCACTTGGAACCCCTAACTCTCAAGTTAAAGTTGGCATGTTCTATTTGCCCTCCTTTGTACTGACCTTATGCATTTATCAAAGGTAATAGTATCTCTGAACAACTATATATACATGGATGGTATATGTTTCTAAGAGAGTTGATTTGGAATGTGTAGTTGAAGAATTAAAAGATTTTGGGGAGCTAGAGAATGGCTTAGTGGTTAAGAGCACTTGTTGTTCTTGTGTAAGATCAGGGTTCAGTTCCCAGTACTCACATTGCAGCTAACAACCATCTATAACTCCAGTTCTAAAGGATCTGATGCTCTCTTCTGGCCTCCTCTTGTCTCCAAGGGCACCAGACATGTACATGGTGAACACAGAATACACTCATACACATAAAAAAAAAACCTCTTTAAGAATGAAAATATTTTCACTTATTAATGACTAGCATAAAGTATGAATGCTTCAGAAATGTAATTCTTTTGTGCTCTTTATTATTTTTTTGGGGGGGGGGTCTTTTTAAGACTGGGGCTCCCTGTAGCCCCAGCTGTCCTGGAACTCACTATGTAGACCAGGCTGGCCTCAAACTCACAGAGATCCACCTGCCTCTGCCTCACGAGTGCTGGGATTTAAAAAATATTTTATTTATTATTTTTATTTTATGTGTATGACTGTATTGCCTGCATGTATATGAGTTTATCCATGTCATGTAATGCCCGTGGAGGACAGAAGAGGGTGTCAGATCCCCTAGAACTGGAGGTAAAGATGGTTGTTAGCCACCATGTGGATGCTGGGAGTCAAATAGAGTTCTCTGCAAGAGCCAGTGCTCTTAACCGCTGACCCATCTCTCTAGCCCCTATTTTAGATTTTTATATCTGAAAATAGCAAAGAATTTTTATGAAGCAATTTGAATGATAATTAAAAATGATGTTCTGTATTATATGGGTAATTACTCCAATGTAGCTGGGCATAGTGGTACATGCCTTTCAGGAGGCAGAGGATCTCTGTGAGTTCTAGGCCAGCCTGGTCTATATAGTGAGTTCCAGGCCATTTAGAGCTACATAGTGCTACCCTGTCTTAAAAAATAAAAACCACTCTTATATAAAGTGTAAATCTGGACACAAAACTGTAAACACTCTGTTACACCAAAATATATTTCTGTAAGTTTTATGTTGACTGTGTTTTTGATAAAATACCTAGATGGGAAGTTATGACAGAATTTCCCCAAGAAAGAAGCTCTATCAGTTTGATCAGCCTGGCTGGATCCCTGTATGCCATTGGTGGTTTTGCCATGATTCAACTGGAGTCTAAAGAGTTTGCACCCACTGAAGTCAATGACATATGGAAGTAAGTTCTCAGTCCAACAATTTTTAGACCCAAGTATTAAATAACTGACAATTTTGTAGTAAATAAGCCAGACTTTCCCATTGTGCAAGTTACTTCTCAGTATAAACTGAACACTTCAAGCCTAATTGAACTTTCGAATACACCACTTGATCTAGTACTACTTGTAATTAGCTGTGGGCTTAAGGAAACAGCTTATCAAGCCTGTTTTTTGGGTGTTTTTTTTTCCTTAAGCTGTAAAATGAGTTAGACTGTTGAGACTTTCAGCCCCATTCCAACTCTCTCATCCAGTAAAGCAAAAAGTAGTTTGTTTTCCATTAGAGTAATTCATTTCCTAAGAAAACACAGCACAGAAGAAATAGCCTATTGAATTTTTCAATAATTCATTAAGTCTAATTCATTCTTCCAAATGTTTGAGGATTCAGTTAACAAAGGTTTTTTAAAAATTGAAAAGTGTAGGTCAGGCATGGTGATCCCAGCACTCAGGAGGCAGGGGCAGGCAGATCTCTGTAAGATTGAAGCCAGCCTGGTCTACATAGTGAGTTCCAGGCCAGTTGTTCCAGGTCAGTTGGGGCTACAGGGAGATCCTGTCTCAAAAGGAACAACAACAACAACAAAAAAAAAAAAAATCAAAAGTAAGAGCTATCAGTTTTGCCTCCTACACTGCTGCTGGGCAATACTCCCAAGTATGCAGTGGTTACTCCTTTGAACTATTTTAGTCAGATACTTTTTAAAAGGCAAAGATACAGTAAATCCCAAATGGAGACCAAAGTGCAGCCAGGAGTTCAGCAGCCAGAGAAGCAGGTTTATTACAGATACACAGGCTGTTTAGGATATCTAGTGACTGATAGGTTGCCATCAGGATAATTACTGCCCAGTGGCTCCTGCTGCCTTCAGCCAAGCACTGTGCTTGCTTATCTAACTTACAGGAGGTAGGTCCCAAGTACCTAAGGAGGAGAGCCTGAGTGAATCCATGCTGCATACACGCCCAGAAACTACCAAACTTATGCTCTCCTGTCAGCCTAAAGGCCAGCCCCACTCACAAAGGTTCACAGTCTGGATCTCAGCTACCCAAAGTACAGCTTGTGGAAATCAGCAGCAGCGGTATCCCTTAGGATCTGCTCCAAGATACAGAATCGTAGGCCCCACCCCAGACCTCCTGATCAGAAGGGGCATTTTAACAAATTCCTAGTTGATTTGTTTGCACATTTAAGTGTACACCTGATCAGTGAAGGCAGATCACTAAGCTTGAGAGTAAAAAGTGGCTATCATTTTTTTCTATACCTGAACACTGGCAGATTCTTTATTTTCTGCTGGCAAATTGCAAGGCTGAAGGTCTCCTAACCTCACCAAACCATTCTTTTGTGCACCAGACATTTCCTGCTGGGGATATAGTTTGGTGGCAGAGTGCTTGAGGGTCTAAGTTTCAATCCCCAATCCCCAATATTAAAAAAATAGTTTAAAAAATTATTTCCTTATGTTGAAGTAACTAATTGTGTCAAGGGCAGGGAAAAAGTGGCTATAAAAATATGGTTCACAAAAAAGAAAAAAAATATGGTTCACTACAGTCTCTCTTCCCCTCAAATGAAAAAGAGAAAAGAAAAAAGAAACCTGGAAATTTTCAAGGATCAAGGTTAGAAATTAGCAGGATGGTGGGACCTGGAGAGACTGGAATCAACAGAAACAGAATGAAATGGAAAGGTCAGGGGTTCTAGAAGAGAGCTAGGTGCCAAGGATGAATAAGCAGTGACTCCCAACCCTGACTGCACTGCAATCCCCTGCAATGCCTCTAAATATACCAGTGTCCGGCCTTGACAAACAGACCAATTATGCCCAGATTTCTGGAGGTTGGACCTGAGCATCACTATCTCACAAAACCTCCTTAAACTAATGTGTAAAGTTAAAAAAAAAAAAAATACTCGAGCCGGGCATGGTGGCATGCGCCTTTAATCCCAGCACTTGGGAGGCAGAGGCAGGCAGATCTCTGTGAGTTTGAGGCCAGCCTGGTCTACATAGTGAGTTCCAGGCCAGTTGGGGCTACAGGGAGACCCTGTCTCAAAAAGACCAAAAAAAAAAAAAAAAAAAAAAAAAAAAAAAAAAAACCTCAATGGTAGCCGGGAATGGTGATGCACACCTTTAATCCCAGCACTGGGGAGGTCCCAGCACTTGGGAGGTTCAAGGCCAGCCTGGTCTACATAGCGAGTTCCAGGCCAGTTGGGGCTACAGGGAGACCCTGACTCAAAAGACCAAAAATAAAAAATACGGTAAGAGTTGTGCCCATCAATCAACTGAACTCACGTAAGCCACAAGGGTTCCTCACCATAGTCCAACACTAGGCCAGCAGGGAGATATTATAGGCAGCAAAGGAAAGGAAGGTACATTTCCTGCTAAAAGTGCCCCTTACTTTGCTTGAGGGAATCTGAAAGAGGTGCCTTCTGATTTTTACTACCTTACCATTAGGGCAGTAGTTCCCAAACTGTTCTCCACACTGGAATCACTGAAGAGTTTCACTAAGTACCAAGGCCCCTTTCCTACTCCTACTGATGGTGACTGAACTGGTCTGGGATATGGTCTGGGCTTTTAATTTAAAAGATCCCCAGTATGATTCTATATGTGCAAAAAAGTCAAAAAGACCACAAATTTTTTTTTTTAATTTGAATACTGTTGTTTTCTGATTCAGGGTGATGTCTACAGTGATGATCTCAAACACTTTGTAGTAGTCACTTTCAAAAACAATCCTCATACCTAGGTCACATATCATACCAATTCAGCCTTTAGGGGTGCAACCAAGCAGTAGTATTTTTAGCATTTCCAAGTGGTTCCATTGTGTGCTCAAATTTGAGAACTTGTGGTTACTTCACTGGATCTCAAGGCAGCATCATCAACAACCTGGGTTTGTTAGAAATACAAATTCACAAGTTTGCCTCGGGACAATCTTTTTTAAAGGCCTCCCTCCATCTGTAACTCCAGTTCCAGGGGAATCCAACACCCTCTTCTGACTTCTCAGGCTTTGCACGACATGGGTACACTTACACACATGCAGGCAACACACTCATACACATAAAAAATAAAATTTAAAAAGTCCTCTCCAGATGGCTTGGAAGAGCCCTACCAGTTGAGTGCTACCGACCTAGAGCTAGGTGGCTGGCTATTCACTTGTCCACAGCTTCCTAGTGAACCTCTCTGAGCCACACATGCAGGCCTCAAAATTCCACATTCTAAACTTATCAACCAATTCTTGTACATTGTTTTTTTTTTTGTTTGTCTGAGACAGGCTATCATCCTATAGCCCAGGCTGGCCCCAAACCACAGTGAACTTCTTGCTCTCAGCCTCTAGAATGCTGGAATTGCAGGGGTACACCAGTGTAACTTGTCTTGTTGATAAAACAAAATATCTAACAAAAGTAACTTAAGGAAGCGTTTATCTTGGTTTACAGGTCCAGGGCATACTTTCATCATGGCAGGGAAGGTATGGTAAGAGCAGGAGGCAGGTGATCATACCGCATGCAGTCAGGAAGGAGAGAGGAATGAATACCTGTGCTCAGCTAACTTTCTCCCTTCCATACATTCAGAGAACCCAAGCCCACTTTTAGGGTAGTCTTCCTACCTCAGTTAACCTAATCTAGATAACCCCTCAAAGACATAACAAGACATTTGTTTTCATGGTGATTCTAAAACTCATCAAGATGACAAGATTAGCCATCACATCCACCACTCCTGGGTTCTTATATTTTTATTTTCTTGAAATAATTTCATTATTTATAATTCAACAAATAGAAAGTAAAATATACTGCCAAAAAACAAGCATTTTAAATCCTCTTTAGCCTCACCCTCTTCATGCCTCCATTAAGCATCTTTTTTTCTAGGTCATTTACAACAATTCTTTTATTTCTTACTTGGTTGCACTACTTTCTATGTAAAATTTTCCCTTTATTATTAATAAAATATTTTTAGCTGATTTCTCTACATAAGAATCATGTAGTGCAAGCCAGGTGTGGTGGCACATGCCTTTAGTCCCAGAACCTGGGAGGCAGTGGCAGGCAGATCTCTGTGAGTTCAAGGCTAGCCAGGAGTTCCAAGCCAGCTGGGGCTACAGGGAGACCCTATCTCAAAAAGACCAAAAAAAAAAAAAAAAAAAAAAATTCAGTGCACAGGTTGTTGATGATGAACACTGACAAAACTTAGATAATGCATAGCTCATTCTACCGATGAATTTCAGTAATTATTTTAAACCTCAGCTAGACATGGTGGCTTATGTTGGTAATCCCAGCACTCACGGGGCTGAGGCAGGAGGATCACCATGAGTTTGATGCCATAGAGTAGGATACATTCAAAAATATATATGTGCATGTATACAAAATCTCATTCATCATAGAATGATTTGGGGTAGTTCCTACATGCCAAGCCTTGACGGCTTCTGGAGTAGAACTGATGTCATTCATCCTTAAATAGCTTTGGGCTTACTGAGGGTACAGGAAGAAAATTTTAAATAGAATGATAATTGCTATAATAAATACCATATAAAGGACTCCATGAGAATGAATAGAACATAAACTTCTTACAGAAGTTGAGAAAGGTTTTAGAAGTCAGTGCTTGGGAGTTTCTCACAGAAGAGCAGTCTAGGCACCAGGCAGAGGAGACATGTCAAGGACACATTTTAGAGGAATTCAAGGGGTATCTTTGTAACTTTGAATACTCAGAGATGAAGACCAGTTCTTACCTAGAGGCAAAGTGCAAAGTCTAAGAGTAGTGCTCAAACAACTACAAAAGGTAAAGAGAACACATTTTTAAGGTGTGAATACTGCTTCAGATGCCTCTCTAGGCACTAGCAGGTAGAAAAATACTGAAATCGCAATTAAGGCTCACAGCCCTGCTTTTCCTAGTTCTTCCTCTTAGAAGAGCCAGCTTCCCTGACTCAAGAGACCTGCACTCTTCATCTGTCCAAAGGCAGATGATTAACTGCTCAGCTACCATCCTTCTTTTCTCTGGACATTCTGATTCCCAGGGAAGGCCAAACTCATAGGCATCTAGATAAATACTCTGGCCACAGTTCAGGTCTATGCTCATTCAAAGTGTGCATATTTGAAAGGAATTCAAGTGCTATTCCACTAGGCAGGCATCTTGCCTGGGTAAGAGTAAGAGACAGTGGGATTTTTTTTTTTTTTCAAAGATCCACATCTGTATACTGAACATATGCAAGCTTACAGAACTCTCTTGTTAAAAGCTGCTTATTGTTTTGTTTTTCTTCCATTAGGTATGAAGATGATAAAAAAGAATGGGCTGGGATGTTAAAGGAAATACGTTATGCTTCGGGAGCTAGTTGCCTAGCAACACGTTTAAATCTGTTCAAATTGTCAAAACTATAAACAAGGTGACAAAAGCATAATACTTTGAGAGATGGTTTCTTTGTTCAACATGGCCTTAATTTAAAAGCCTGTACAGATTCATGTAGGAATTAAGTTACTAAGAAGTGAACAGTATACCAGAGTCCCAAAGACACTGACTTTTCAGTGTGATTGAGCAAAAGACCATTTTCTAATAACTTTAATATTCAATTCAGTTGAACAATGATTTTTGTTAACCTTTCTCACTCAATGAAATGTAAAGGAGCTTTCTAAATTTGAACTATTTACTAATTTTTGTATTCATAAGATATTTTACACTTGTTTTCTATTATAAATGAAATATGTCTACATTTAAAGAAATGTTTTAAATCAGAAATCTTTCCTCATGTTTCAAGCTATGGCAGGAATCTTAGTACTATCTTGAAGATTACATGGCATAAGACAATTTGGAAATGCTATTTAAGGACTATAATGAGTCTCATTTGAAGGGGAAAGTCTCTAAGTAAAAGTAGTCAAATCCAAATGACATCTCTTTTTCTTCCCATTCTTTTTGTGACACTGGCATATTGTGTTATTTCCAAATCAAAATGTCAAGTGTTTTGTGTGTATGTAAAAGTAATTTGTGAGGCCAGGCATGGTGTGAGTAATTTGTGAGGCCAGGCCACGCCTTTAATTCCAGCACTCAGGAGGCAGAGGCAGGTGGATCTCTGTGAGTTCAAGGCCAGCCTGGTCTACATAGTGAGTTCCAGGACAGCTGGGGCTACAGGGAAACGCTGTCTCAAAAAGACCAAAAAAAAAAAAGAAAAAAGAAAGAAATTTGTGCTGCACACACATGCAAGTATGCCACAGTGTCCATGTGGCAGTCAGAGGACAACCTTGGATGTCAGTCCTCATCTTCCACAGGGTCTGTTGTTTCTCTACTGTATAAGCCAGGAGCTTCTGGGGAGTCTCTTGTCTACCTCCCATCTCCCCATAGGAGCCCTGGGACTACACACAGCTTTTATGTGACTTCTAGGTATTTGAATTCAAATTCTCAGTTTGCCAGGCAAGCACTTTTACCCATTAAGCTATCTCCCTAGCCAAAAATGTAAAATGTTTTAAAATTAAAAACAAGTAAATAATAGTCTTCACATCATTAATACCATCCACATCATATACAGCATCAGTGGCAGGAGAATGGGATCAACACATAGATTCTGTGGAGGAGGGCAGATAAGTTACTGGTTCATATTTTATAGGAAATAAAGCAGATGCCTATTTGCTAAATTTCTAATAGCAAGAAAGATGTCTGAGGCAGGTGTGGTAGCCCATGCCTGTTGTCCCAGCTTAAGAGGCTGCCACAAGAGGATGGCTTGAACACCTAATTCTGAGTCCTGCTTGGGGGAAAAAAAAAAGTCTGATTCCATTTGGAGGGATATAAGGCCCTATACTCACTGTTTTTCTTAGTGTATATGATTTCTCAGTCTATTGTAATCATCAGATTCAACTATGCAAGTCATGAACTTCCATCCTTATCACACATCTATGCATGGGTCTCACAGACATGCATTTGACTTCTATATTTAAACATGTTTTCTGAAAAACCTGATCTGAGATTTACATGGAGCATTCGGTTTGTCAAGCCAGCTACATAAAGAATGGATATGTGTTCATATAGCTTCATTTTCTCTATCATAAATATGGAAATATAGTCAACAAAAGTCCGATTTTAGATCTCTGAAGTAGGAGACTGATTACATTTCTGTATAGAAAAATACTGATCTGAACGATACCATGAGTACAAATTCAACAAATATCCAAAGTGGGAAACCCTCCAAGTTCTCCACCAGATAAACTGGTAGAGACGATGATACACACCTGTTATTCCAACCCTAGAAAGGCTGAGGAAGGAATATCTAGAGTTCCAGGCCAGCCTAGGCTACACTGTTTCCAGACCAAACTGAGCTACATACTAAGACTCTGCCCTCTGCCCCCTGCTGATAGGTTTTAAAAGACTTTAAAAGGGTGGGAGAATTGTGATGTCCAGAGATACATACCTGGGAGACAAAACAACCAGGATACCGGTACTTTTCAGAAAAGACTGTCAATCCACCAACATGAAATTCAGTTGGAAAGTTATTTTTTGTAGGGTTGCTTTGGGGGCTGATGAAAATGTTCTAGAATTAATGGTGGCTATACAAATATACTAGAAATCATGTGACATAGTAGAGAAAATGATCTTTTAAAAACAGCAATCCTGGAGCTGGGGAGATGGCTTGATGTCTAAGTGCTTGCTGTCCAAGCATGGCATCTAGGGATGCAAGAGACAGGAAGATTCTGGGAGCTCACTGGCCAGCTGGTCTAGCCAAATGGGTGAGCTCCAGGTTCAGAGACCCTGTGTCAAGAAATAAGGTGGAGAGTGACTGGAAGACACTAAGCATCAACCTCTGGTTCCTGTGGCAGCCTCTCTAGAAGCTGCAACTGTAGGCACGGGACACTACCTCAGTCATCTTTCTTGCTATCAGAAATTTAGTGGGCACTCATGCATGCACACACACACACCACATAGAACAACCATCACCCTAAATAAATAAAAAGAACAATCCCAGTTATTTAGATAGGAACATTAACAAGAAATGTAGGAAAATGTATATAAGAAAACCATTTCAGAGCTGACATGGTGGTACAACACCTGTAATCCTGGCACTTTCAAGGTGGAGGTAGAATGGGAATTAGGAGTTCAAGACCAGCCTAGGCTACATAGTGAATTCAAGACCAGCTGGGACTACATGAAACCTTGTCTCGAAACAAAGGATTCGCAGACCCTTTTTCAATTTGGCAACCTGGTGAAAGGCGTATCAGAACTATGATAAATTAGAAATTATGTATGACAATGAGATATACCAGTCATTCAATCAAATTTTTCATGTACCTCAAGTATATTACTAGATTTTCAATTATTCATATCCAAAACACGAGGAAACTCAGGAAGAATGGTTACAAGGAAGTACTTCTCACTTGCTTACTATTCTCATTGTTTAACATGAACAATTTTCTGAAGCTCATGTCTGCAAAGTCACTGAATACCCGGCTTGAAGCAAAGCCATTGGATATTGGTGTGTGGGGGGTGGGGGGGTGGGGGGTATATGTGTATGTATTTGTATAAGTGCACGTGTGCAGATGCACATGCATGTATGCATACATGTGGAGGCCAAAGGTCAACGTCAGATGTCTTCAGTCACTTTCCACCTCACTGGATATTTTAAACATGTAGTTCAGAGGTAATGAAGGTAGAGCAATGGGGCTAGTGCCCTTATAAAAGCAGCCCAGGGAGCTCTGGAGTTCTTTTTGCCATTTAAGGACACAGAAAAGATGTGTCTTTATAAGCCAAGAAGCATGCTGTCACCAAACTCCAAATTTATCAGCACTATGATCTTGGATTTTCCAACTTCCAGAACTGTGAAAAGTTATTTAAGCCACCCAATATATGGCACTTGTTACTGCAGGCCAAGTGAGCTCAAACATTCATCTTTGAATAGCTGTATCATCCTACATAGAAACATAAGTTCTAATGGGAATTAACAGTCTCAAGGGAATATGCAAGATGACACTTGTAGAAACTCTCCAAGATGGAGTAGATGCATAGAGATGTGTTTGTAATTCAAAAGATGCTTGTCATTCTCTGCCACTAGAAAACACCGGTAAGCCTTCATCTCCATGTACCAGAAGTTGAGATTATATTGACATAAATTGGCTGCAAAATATTTCAACAGTATTTCATGGAGTATAATAGTTTTAATATTTTATATATTAAAAAAATCATTGAAGCCAGGTGTGATGGCACATGCCCACAATTCCCGTACTTGGAAGACACACACAAGACAATCAGAAGTTCAAGGCCAGCCTAAGCTACATGAGATACAAAGAAAGAAAACTCAAACAAGGGGTGGGGTGGGGGACTATTCAAGATTAGAACATTGGGAGAAAGCTTAATTTTTCTAATAATGAAAATAAAGCCAGACATGGTGGTGCATGCATACAATCCCACACTTAGGAGACTGAGGCAGGCAAATCTTTAACTTTGAGGCCAGCCTGGTCTACGCAGCAAGTTCTAGGCCAGCCGTGAGACCAGCTTAAAAAGAGAGGGAGGAGCCATCCAGAAGCGGACTCAGCAGAACTGTGGGAAGCAGGGCTGGGCAGTCAGATTAGGAACAGGGCACCCTGGATGCTCTGGGGCTGCTGCCTCGAGGTGTGCTGGGTGCCAGTACTCTTCATCACTTTCATGGTCATCTGGTCCTACTACACCTACGTGGTGGGGCTGTGCCTGTGATCTCCCTGTAACCTCAGCTGACCTGGACAGGCTAAGGACCAGGCTGGCCTCAAACTCACAAAGATCCACCTGCCTCTGCCTCCCAGGTGCCTGGGATTAAAGGCGTGTGTCACCATGCCCAGCAACAGAGCACCAGGACTTTGGAGATGATCTGTTTAACTATCAAATAGCAGAAATCTGGGCCACATGACCACCACCTTCCACATGGACCTGGATGTTCACACCAGCACACTGCTCCTTGCCCAGAAGAACCGGCTTCAGTAACTTGTACTGGACTCAGTCATCTCATCTCTAGGATGTCAGGTGTCACCCTGATGAGGCCATTTCCCATCTGTAGCATGCCGTGGCTGTGGTTATCTGCTTGCATCCAAAGACTAGACACACCTGAAAGGAAAGTGGGGGCCACTTTTTCTGTTTATGCAGTGTCTCATGCAGCCCTGGCTATCCTGAAACAGTATGTAGACCAGGCTGACCTCGAACTCAGAGCTCTGCCTGTCTCTGCCTCCTGTGTGCTTGGATTAAAGGTATGCACCACCATGCTCAGCTTTAAAAAAAAAGAATGAATATAAATGAGACTTGACTTGAAAAAAAAAAAGCTCTTTAACTGGATTTCATGTACCCCTAGATGGCCTCAAATTCACTATGTAACAGCCCTGAAATCCTGGTCTTCCTGTCTCTCAGATCAGAGGTGTGTGCTACCACCATGCCATTTAAGCATTCTGTCAACAGAGCTACATGGCTAGCCTGTGTTGTTTTTGGTTTGTTTTTTTTTTCCCTGAGATAAAGTCTTGTTTAGTTGCCCAGGCTGCCACACTCAACTTGAACCTAGGATCATTCAAGTTTTTTTTTCTTTTTGAGACAGGGTCTCATGACATACCCCTGGCTGGCCTGAAATTCTCTATGTAGACCAGGTTGGCCTCAAATTCATAGATATCTGCCTGCTTCTGCCTCCTGCTGGGATTAAAGGCATGTGCCACCATACTAGCATCAAATTATTTTTGATATAATAAGAAAATAAAGGGGCTTGGGGGGATGGCTCAGCAGTTAAGAGCACTTCTGCTCTTTCAGAGGACCCAGATTCGGTTCCCAGCACCCACAGAGCAACTCCGAACTGTTTGTTGCTCACAACTGTCTGTTAACTCTAGTTCCAGGGGATCTAATACTTCTGGCTTCTATAGCTACCAGGCATGCAGGTGGTACACATACATACATGCAGACAAAACAATTATAAAATAAAAATATTTTAAAAATATGAACTTCAACTAATACCTAAGTCAATTATCAATGAAGCAGATTATATGTAGGACACACATTTTTAAACTATGCCCATGATATGAGACACTGTGGCTATGAGCTAGGGTACAAAATGAAGTTACTGGGTCCTGAGTCAAAAGAAAATTCTAAACTGGCCAATCTCCCAACCCCATGCTACAGGTAGACTGAGGGTAGTTATACAATGGCTTTTCCCTGAGCACAAATATATCATTTTGGAGTTGTTATGACATTTGTGTATGTGTGCCTGTATATGGGTGTGTGTGCCACAGCACACACATAGCACACATGTGGAAGTCAGAGGACAACTTTCAGGAGTCATAGCTCCTACCATGTGGGTTCCAGGAATTGAATTTGCTCAGGTCGTCAGTCTTGGTGGTACACACCCTTACCCACTGAGCCATCTTGCAGCCCCAAATATATCACTTTTGGAGGAAGGACTTAGAACTATTTCAACACAGTAGATCTTTAAGTAACTATTTTATTATAAATGTGCCATAAGATGGAGAGAAAACATTCCCTCAGCATGTGAAGGATCAGACCAGGTCCAGATTGGTTCACTCAAGCTATCATTCCATTTAGAAGAAAGCCCATGTCACCTTGCACTTTCTCTTCAGTCACGCTTTCATGCCCACCACTTCACCCAAACTACCTCTTAGGTAGTTTGATTTCTCAGGGAGATGATTTTCATGGTTTGTTGTTTGAAGAAAGATCAAACCCCAGGGCCTCATGCAGGCTAAGCAAACACTCTACCACTGAGCTGCATTCCCAGTCCCCTCATGTTGCTAAATTTAATGGACATTTCCCAGACCTCAACTTACCTGACCTACCAGCAATACCCAACTGCTCACTTCCTCCTGGAAATGCTTCCTCTTTGGTTTCTACGAAGTGTTTCTCCCTTTTCTGACTCTTTCTCCTGCTTCATGGGCCACCCCTGTTCAGTCTCTTTTGCTGTTTCCTCTTCTTGACCTCTTAATGCTAGAGAGCACCCAAGAGAACAGTCTCACACCTCTCCATTCACACTCTTTTCCAGTCACATCTTAGGTGATTTCATCTAGTCTCATGGTATTAAATACCAATGACAACTTTCACATTTGTATCTGGAGCCTGGACCTCTCCTGTGACCTCCAAATTCACAGAATTATTTGATCTCTCCACTTAGATGCTGAAAAAGTATCAAACTCAGAGCATCTGAAACAAATTCATGATCTTCCCAACACTGGCATGCCTCCATCTTGCTCACCCTATAGATGCCCCCAACCTCCAGCTCAGTGAATGGAATGGATCTATATCAAACCCCCTTCCCACCAAGGCTCAGAAAACATCACAGAAGAGGGGACACAATGTCTCCTGAAATGACAGGCAATTGAACTCATGAACTCTCAATAGCTGTGATTACTGACATTAAGACCTATACAAGATCAATCTAGTCAATATTCCAACATGGATGGTGGGAGACTCACAAGATCCAACTCCTGAGAAGCTACAGGTAGTTTACAGCTGCTGGGGGAGAAAGAGTCAGCTTTCTTCAGGGGCGGGGCCCCTGGCATGTTCCCCATGCTATAATGGACAGCTCTATAACCACATGCATGCAGCAAACATTAATTAGGTTTTATATATATATATATATATATATATATATATATAAAATATGTGTGTATGTGTATGTATATATATATATATATGACATGAAGTTGGGAGGGGAATGGGCCTGAAGAGGGACATGGGAGCTGGAGGGGAGGTAAATACAAAATAAAATGTATTCATGTATGAAGGAACAAACAATTTAAAGAACATTAAGAAAATATGTGTTCTCTTTTGGGGAGTTTTTTTTGTTTTTGGTGTTTTGAGACAAGGTCTCACACCATAGCCTAGGCTGGCCTGGAACTCACTATGTACTACAGGCTGGTCTTGAACACTCAGCAATCCTCCTGCCTCAGCCTCCTCAGTGTTGTGATTAACCCACTTAAAAATATGTGTTCTAGCCAGGCATGGTGGCACACGCCTTTAATCCCAGCACTTGGGAGGCAGAGGCAGGCGGATCTTTGTGAGTTCAAGGCCAGCTGAGGTGCTTTTTTGTCATACTGCATCCCTGCTTCCCTGATGTGCTTATTTGGAGTGTAAGACAATGTTTCAACATACAAGGTAGCATTCCTGGCAGAAGAAATCTGTTTTTCTGCAAGTTACTATTTTCTCTTTGGATTTTTAAAAGAAACTTACTGAGCTTTTGTACATCTCATACAACAGTTCTTAATCAAATTTAGACCCCTTCCCCCATCCATGCCTCTCCCAGTTCCCCCACTGGACCTCATGTTTGAGGCCATACTTTTTTTTTTTTTTTGGTCTTTTTGAGACAGGGTCTCCCTGTAGCCCCAGCTGGCCTGGAGGCAGGCCTAAACTCATAGAGATCCACATGCCTCTGCCTCCCAAGTGCTGGGACTACAGGCGTGCACCACCACGCCCGGCTAAGGCCATACAATTTGACTGTTACCACTCACCTTTTATTCTACTCCCAACCCACTTCCCACTTGTTTGTTCCAACCATGTTATTAATAAGCATGTTATTCTCAAATATATCAGGTATGTTCCCACTTCAGAATATTTACACTTATTATTAAAGATTTATTTTTTATGTGCATGAGTGTTCTGCCCACAGGTACGTGTATGCCTGGTGTCAGAGGCCAGAAGGGTGTCAGCTGCTATGTGGGTGTGGAGGTTCTCTGTAAGAGCAGCAAATGCTCTTGACCTCTGAGCCAGCTCTCCAGCCCTATCTTTAAATTGAGTTTAGGCCACTTAATTAAAGCAAATACAGATGTATTTGCATACCATACTCATTTTAAATGAAAACTACAATCATGATTTGCCTTCTCCAAATATACGTTCCTTCAGGTAGTCCAGCCGAGCAGCCTTTGTTGACATTGTCATAGAGTTCCATTCAAAATAAGGGACCTGCAAAATAAGCAATGTAGTTTTAATAAAAGTTTTACCACTACAGTGTTTTAAATTTTTTTATTTCATTTCATCACCATCAGCTGTACCTCCCTATTAGTTTACTGAAGGACTATATAAGCTTTCTAATGGTGTCCAGAAATTTATAAAAATGTAAATACATTTACAAAATGTAAAAATGATTTGGTCTCTTAAGAGATGCTCAACTGTGAAGCTATGTAACTAATAGTGTGTATATGATTTGTCACCTAGGCATAGAACTGCTTATGTTATCTTTTAGGCTGCTACATTCTTACTGCTTAAAAGGCTAACACTGTTTGCACAAAAAATTGCAGATTTGCTGAGTGTGGTAGCACTGATCTTTGATCCCAGCACTAGAGAGGCAGAAGCAGGCAGATCTCTGTGAGATGGAGGCAAATCTGGTCTATACAGTGGGTTCCAGCCAACCAGAGCAACATAGTAGAACCATGTCTCAAACAATAAGAAAAAAAGAAGAAAAAGTTGATGATTCCCCAAACAGTAGTGAAATCACTTCTGTTAAGGTTTTTTATGCCATCTTATAATAAAATCTGAAAATTCTCTCCTTCTTTTAATTTTTTAAAAAATGCTTTTCTATATACTTTTGATAACGGATTTTGAAGAAATCATATACAATAAAGGATTTTAATAGTACAGTAGATGTAAAAAAAAATTCTGCTTGAAAGAATGTTTTTAAATGTTTATTTGATTTTATTTTGTTTTTTGTTTTTGAGACAGGGTCTCTCTGTAAGCCCTAGCTGTATTGGAACTCACTATATAAACCAGACTGGCCTCAATCTCACAGAGATCCACCTGCCTCTGCCTCCTGAGTGCTGGAATTACAAGCAAATGTCACCATGCCCAGCTATATTAAATGTTTATTTGAAATCAAAGTATTTTGTTCATAAAGTTCAATAATATAAAAAAAAATAGGGGTTAGAGAGATGGCTAATGCTTAAGAGTGCATACTGCACCCAAGTCAGGAGGCTCAAAACCACCTCTAACGTCAGCTCCAAGGGGTCGGAGCACCTGGACTCATGTGAACGTACCCACAGAGATACACACAGACAAATAAGTAAAAATTAATTAAAAATTAATAAAGTAGCTATAAAAACACCAGGGAAAAGTTATCAGCATTACTAGCAAGACCTTAGGAGCCCCATGAGAGTTTACTGAAGCACAGCCTTAAAGCCCTTGGAAGTAACTGAGTCTTTCCTCCTGACACTGTCTAAAAGACATTTTGTGTCTCACAGCTCCCTTCACCCCTATTCCTACACCACCAACAAAAGGCATTTACCCCCTACTTACTCAGTTTTTTTTGTTTGGGTTTTTTTCATTTTTTTTGGTCTTTTTTGAGACAGGGTCTCCCTGTAGCCCGAGCTGTCCTGGAACTCACTATGTAGACCAGGCTGGCCTTGAACTCACAGAGATCCGCCTGCCTCTGCCTCCCAAGTGCTGGGACTACAGGCGTGCACCACCACGCCCGGCCCTACTTATTCTTTTATATACATTAAACTTTTCTTCTTTTAATGCCTGACATGCAGAAAATATACAAATCAATAAAAATGTTATTTTGAGACAAGGTCTTATTATGTAGCACTAGCTAGCCTCAATCTCACAGAGATCCACTTGCCTCAGCCTCTTGAGTGCTAGGATTAAACAACTACACCTAGTTGTTTGTTTTGTTTGAGATAGGGTCTCACTACTTAGTTGAGCCTAGCCTTGAACTTGCTATGTAGCATTTGTGTGCTAGATAGCTTCAGATGACAATTTGGCACACCTGGTTAGACCTCAATTGAGAAGCTGTCCCCACTGGATTGGCCTGTGCCCGTGTTTGTTGGGCATATGCTTGACTGTTGAGTGTCATGGGAGGGCCCAGCCACTGTGGGTGGTACCACCCCTGGGCAGGTAGTCCTGTGCTGTATAAGAAAGCAAGCTGAGCACAGACCAAGGGAGCAAGCCAGTAAGCAGCATTCTTCTGTGGTCTATACTTCAGTTCCTGCCCTGAGATCCTGCCTTGACTTCTCTCAGTGATGAACTGTGATGTGACCTGGGAGTTGTAAGATAAAATAAACCCCTTTCTCCCCAAGATGGTTTTGGTCAGTGTTTTTATCACAGCAATAAGAGGGCTAGGACAACAGGCTAGCCTCAAACTTGAGATCCTTCTAAGTATTGAGATTATAGGTCTGCACACCATGCCTTTTAAAAAAAAAAAGTATATTTGTATGCATGCATGTATGTGTATATGATATAGCAATATGCACATGAGTGCAGATATATGTGTTCATATGTGCAGGGAGGGCAGAGAAGGTGTCCTACTCTATCATTTTCTGCCTCATTCTCTTGAAACAGGGTCTCTTTACTGAACCTAGAGATAGGCTGGTGGCCAGCAAACCCCAGAGATCCTCTGGTCTCTGCCCCACAAAGTGCTGGCATTACAGGCTCACTCACCCATGTCTGACCCATCATGCCTTTTTTGTTTTAAGACAAATTTTTTTTTTTTTTTTTTTTTTTTGGTCTTTTTAAAACAGTGTCTCCCTATAGCCCCAGCTGGCCTGGAACTCATTATGCAGACCAGGCTGGTCTTGAACTCACAGAGATCCGCCTGCCTCTCCCTCCCAAGTGCTGGGATTAAAGGCATGTGTCACCAAGACTGGCATACTTCAATTTTTTTAATTAAATTTTTGCAATTTTCATATAATATACTTTGATGGTATTTAGATCCCTTCCCCTATCTGCACCTCCCTTCACTGTATTTGCGTCTGACTTCTGTCCCCAAACATCCTTCGGTGTGGGTCTATCCACTGGGCCCACCAAGAGTCCCATCCCTGTACAATTCATCATGCCTTTTTAGAGGCTTAGTTACATGAGTGTTTCATACCTGAATCACATGATAGCCCAAAATTTCCAAGTGTCGTTTTTTCATAGCAGATTTTCCCTTTAAATGAGGGAGGTTTATACAAAAGGCTTTTAAATCCAAAAATTCAAAAGCAATCCTACATAAAATAAAAATAAATACTTATTTCCAAAATCTAAATGAGAAAGTAACCACAAGCTTTCAGGAAAAAGAACATATCTATATAAACAAAAGCTAAATGACTATAAATGAGGAAAATACCAACGATTTTTTTGTTGTTGTTTTCTTCCTTTAAAAAATATTTTTATTTCATGTTTCAGTGTTTCACCTGCATGTATGTAAGCGCACCATGTGTGTGCAATGTCCATAGAGGCCAGAAGAGGGCATTGGGTCCCCTACAGTTGTGAATGGTTCACAACTGAACCATTGGGTGCTGGGAACTGAAGCAGGTTCTCGCCAAGAGCAGCCAGTACTTTTAACCTCTGAGCTATCTTGCTATCTTTCCAGCCCTGTTTTGTTCTTTTATTTATTTATTTATTTATTTACTTATTTATTTTTTGGTCTTTTTGAGACAGGGTCTCCCTGTAGCTCCAGCTGGCCTGGAACTCGCTATATAGACCAGGCTGGCCTTGAACTCACAGAGATCCACCTGCCTCTGCCTCCCAAGTGCTGGGATTAAAGGTGTGCACCACCACGCCCGGCTTTGTTCATTTTTTTAAGGCAGGGTCTCATGTAGCCCAGGCTGGCCTTGAACTACTAATCCTCCTGCCTCCATCTCCCAACTGCTAGGACTACAGACCTGAGCTACCACATACATTTCCAAATTATTTTTCTACTTCTAAGAAATTAATAACTGGAGACTGGAAAGATGGCTCAGCAGTTAAGAGAACTGGCTGCTCTTGCAGAGGACCTGGGTTCAGTTCCCAGCACCCACACGGTGGCCAACAAACATCCATAACTCCAGTTCCAGGGGATCCAATGCCCTCTTCTGGCCTCTGTAGACTGTGCACAACACAGGTGCCATAACGTATGTTGGTAAAACACTCATACATATAAAATAAAAATAAAGAAGTTAGTAACTAATAAATCTGTTCATTAAAAGAAATTATAGTTAAACATCCCCCAGCTTTCATCAATTTCTTTATCCATCATGTACTTACTATGTGGCTTCTTTCATAAAGAATTTATATATAAAGATAAAGCAGCATAGCTTATGGTCGAACAGAGAATGCATGAGGTATAGTAACAGTGCAATAGAGAAAGTAGCTAAGTGCTATCATAGTAGAGAGGCAGGGAAACACAAAGTAAGAAAATACTACACTTCCAGTTGAGGACAACTAAGTCATCACTTAGTTACCAAGGCTGCTGGGCAGTGGGTAGAAGGTAGGCTATTAATGTAGAAGGCACAGCAAAGGCAAAAGCTCAGGGAGAGACAGCACAGGCCGCTGAAGAGCAGTGCTGATGATGCTACAACCAGCCCTTGCTACAAGTTAAACAGTTCAATAAAAATCCTAAAAATAAAACAGAAATTACCTCTCGGCTCCCGGCGGAAGGCTTGCTTTAACTCTTTGAGTATTTAATTCCCAGTCCATTCCCGATGTTTTCCCCAAAGTTATGCTATGGCCTCCATAAGGAAGAGGTTTTTTTCGTTTATCCAAAATACATTCAAAATCTTTAAGAAATATAGAAATCAATAATATAAATTAGGCAAATTCTAACTGCCCAAAGTTTAAAGTATATTTTAAATGTACTAATATATATGCACACATACATACATACAATAAAGAATGATATATCTCTAAGATTATTCAACCCATTTTATAAGATCTGTTCCAATGGTACTTATCTTTGAAAATCAATAAATATAGCCAGGCATAGTGGCACATACCTTTAATCCCAGAACTTGGGAGGCAGAGGCAGAAGGATCTCTGTGAATTCAAGGCCAGCCTGGTCTACATAGTGAGTTCCAAGCCAGCCCCACTACAGGGAGACCCTGCCTCAAAAAGACCAAAAAAAAAAAAAAAAATCAGTAATTATCAACAAGTAAGTATTAATAAACTACAGCACAGCACATGGCTACCTACATTGAGCACTGAGGTAGGCCAAATCATATTAAAGAGTTTGCTTTAAGCCAGGCATAGTGATGAATAACTGTAATCTTAGCACTTGGAAAGCTGAAGCAGGAAGATCACGAGTTCAGGCTGTCTGGGCTAGTCAGACTGCCTCAACTTTTAAAAGTTTTAGGGCCGGGTGTGGTGGCGCACACCTTTAGTCCCAGCACTTGGGAGGCAGAGACAGGCAGATCTCTGTGAGTTCAAGGCCAGCCTGGTCTATGAGTTCCAGGCCAGCTGGGGCTTCAGGGGACCCTGTCTCACACCACACACACACACACACACACACACACACACACACACACACACACACACACGCGCGCGCGCGCGCACATACACACACACAAAGTTTTACAGGCTGGAGAGATGGCTCAGTGGTGAAGAGTACTTACTGCTCTTCCAGAGGACCTGAGTTTAGTTCCTAGCACCCACAAGGCAGCTAACACCTGTCCTTCACTCCAATTCAGGGGAACCAAACACCCTCTGGCCTCGGTGGGCACCAGGTATGCACAAGATACACTTCAATAACATAAAATAAAAATCTTTAAAAATTTTATTGTAATATATTTAAGTTTCTTGGTCACATTTGGAGGATGCTAAAACAACCGTTTATCTAAAGACCAGTAAAAACAAAGACTCAAGCACTTATCCTCTTTCCTTTAAGAATTGCACATAAAGGAACCTAAGTTGGTATGGGAACATTTTCTTACACAAACTGTAGCTATCAATTTAGATGAAATGGCAAATGCAGAAAACCGCTGTTTGACATCTCATCTCTTGTGAATGCTAGATTTAGGCAAGGAGTGATTGCTAATGGCTATTAAATATAGAAGACAAAGCTCATGAGAGAACTTTCTACCAAATGATTTAGCCTAGCCAACATTATAAACCCACTGTTGAGTGATTTTTGATATGATGCAATAAGAAATACCCACCATCTGTGCAGCAGTGTGGCCAGAAACCAATAAGCTAAAATTCAATAAAGCACCAACCTCCAATTACTGGTTTACAGGAAATGCTAGAGCCAACACCAGCATGGTGAATGACACCAGGGGGTTACGATCAGAAAAGTCTAGGTTATGAAATGTTTTTCAATAAATTGTAAGAAGATGAGAAAAACAGAATTGAAAAAAAGACAAATTGCAAGGCCAGCTTGGTCTACATAGTGAGTTCCAGGCTAGCTGGAGCTACAGGGAGACCCTGTCTCAAAAGACAAAAAAAAGAAGAAGAAAAAAGACAAAATTAACCAAATGCAATGGTTGGATCCCAACTCAAACAAGTCATAAAATAAAACATGTAAGAAACAATCACGAAGGCTGTATGATATTAAGAAAGTATAAATGACTATAGAGGCAATGATGTGGTTGTGTGTTTTTAAAGCTACATTTTCTCTTCTGGTACATATGTCATATGTTGAAATGATACACTGTATGTGACTTGCTTGAAAATGACTAGGAGGAGGTCAGTGAGTGAGTGTTAGTGACAATTGTCAATTGTTAACTAGATGGGATTTTTTTTTTTTTTTTAAATGTGTATGAGTGTATTGCCTGCATGTATGTGAGTGCACCCGTGTCGTGCAATGCTGCGGAGGTCAGAAGAGGGCTTCGGGTTCCCCTGGAACCGGAGTTAAAGACGGTTTGTAGCCGCCATGTGGATGCTGGGAATCGAACTCAGCTCCTCTGCAAGAGCAGTCAGTGATCTTAACCGCTGAGCCATATCTCCAGCCCCTCCGCCCCTTTTTTTGAGACAGAATCTTGCTATGTTGCTAGCCTAGCCATGAATCCCAGAGTTCAATTCATCCTCCTGCCCCCGCCTCTTGAATAACTGGGCTACAGGTGTGTGCCACAGCTCCCAGCCTTATTCCATTTCTGGTCTTTTGTTTGAAATGTTTCAAAGCCAGGCATGGTGATGCACATCTAAAATCACAGCACTTGGCAGATGGAGACAAGAATACTACAAGTTTGAGACCAGCCTGAGCTACATAGATTTTTTTATCTGAAAAAAACAAGAAGCAAATAAAAAATAACTACTACTGTTTCTGGGGCTCCATTTTCTCATTTATAATTTATACATCTCCTGGTACATAAGTTATTATGTGCATATAAACAAACACATATACACACAGCACATAAAATAGTTCCTAGCAGATAATAAGCATCAGATTTACATTTATCTGTTACCATTGTTACATAAAATTGCAGCAGGACAGATATATCCAATCAGCACAAAACCTCATGTATTGATTAAATCACAGCACACTCATCCAATGAGATATGCAGCCACTAAAAAATGTTAAATATTGTTGCCATAGAAAAATATTTACAACATACAAAATGTTATAAAAGTGCTATAATCCAAACTTGATATAATGAAACTTAATCACCAGTGTGATGGCCTTAAGAGGTGAGGTTCTTTAAGAGATCATTAACTCGGGGGCTGGAGAGATGGTTCAGCAGTTAAGAACACTGGTTGTTCTTGCAGAAGACTGGGGTTCGAATCCCAGTACCCACATGGCAACTAACAACTGTCCTAACTCCAGTTCCAGAGGATCCAACATCCTCTTCTGTCCTCTTCAGGCATTGCACAACACGGGTACACTTACCTACATGCAGGCAATACATACATATACATAAATAAAAATAAAAATCCTTAAAAAAAAAAAAAGATGTGATTAACTCATGGCACAGCCATCATTTACAAAGAGGCTGAAGGAAAACAGTAGGCCCTTTCTTACCATTCTGTTCTGTCACATAAGGACACAAAATTCAAGGTGCCATCTTAGAAGCAGACACAGAGCCCTCTCCATACATAGAACCTGCTGGTACCTGAATCTTGGACCTCCCAACCTCTGGAAGTGTGAGAAATAAACTTCTGTTGTTCATAAATTACCCAGTCTCAGGAATTTTGTTACAGCAGCATGAATGGACTAAGACAAATACTATGAAATAAGTTATTTTTAGTTTTACAAGTCAGTTAGAAAAACAGATAACAAAAGTAAACAGTAGGGCTAGAAAGATGGATCAGAGATCAAGAGTACTCTTGCAGAGGACTGGAGTTTAGTTCCTAGCACCCACATGGAAGCTAACAATTGTCCACAATTCCAGTTCCAGGGAATCCAATGCCCTCTCAGACCTCTGTGGGCATTGCACAACATGAGTGCACTTACACACATGCAGGCAATATACTCATATACATAAAATAAAAATAATAAATTTTTTTTAAACAAACACTGACTATAGCAAAAATAAAGTCTCTTTCTGGTTCTCTGTGCTTGCTTGTTTTACTATGCTAAATATGTATCATGTGACTTTGTTTTTCATTTTTGAGACAAAGTCTCACTACACAACTCAAAGTGACTTTGAACTTGGTATGTAAACCAAATTGGCCTGGAACTCACAATCCTCTTGCCTTAGCTTTCCAAGTGTGGGGATTACAGACATGTGCTAATAGCCCAGCATTCATGTGAGTTGTTTTGGTTTTTTCTGGGTGTTCATACCTCATCCCCCTGTACAAATATTACCAATCACAACCAATTCTATTTTCTTTTTTCTTTTTCTTTTTGAGACAGGGTCTCCCTGTAGCCCCAGCTGGCCTGGAACTCACTATGTAGAGCAGGCTGGACTTGAACTCACAGAGATCCACCTGCCTCTGCCTCAGGAGTGCTGTGGTGTGTGCCACCACACCAGGCCTTCTTTGTTTCAGGGACAGGGTCTTGCAATGCTACCCCAGCCTCCTGAGTAACTAGAATTACAGGTATGTGCCACCATGTCCAGCTAGGAGCTGTTGGATGATCCAGAAATATTCAGTGGCTCTGAATCTGGAAATTGCTTAGCACTGGTGAAGATTAACCTTAATTTTTTTTTTCTAAAAAAACAGCAAAATACTGATAGTTATCAAAGCTGAGTCATGGGAATGAACTTGAAGACTCAATGTATTTTGTCCACTTTTGTCAGTTTGGAAATTTTCATGAGAAAAATCTGAAATGAAGTTGTAAACCTTTCTTTTTAAAATTCCAACTAATTATATGACTCTATTCAAGTCAGTATGGTCTTCTGAAAACAGCTAATTATCTACCAATGACTTACCTACTCTGTAGTAATAAGGCGAAAAAGCAGAAGCTTTTACGTAATTCACTCCTCCTAGGACCTCTGCTAACATTTTGTAAATCTGTTGTTTTGCTTCATTCATAATCCCAGCATCTTTAAGAAAATAAAAATAGTCTACTTAATTTTTGAATGAAAATCATCTTAATTGTACAAACTGAAAAATATATTTTTACTAAGAGCCTCAGGACTCATGGTGAGGTGGCTTATGGGGTAAAAGCTTACCTCGAAAGTTTGAGGACCTGAGTCTGATCCCTGGAACCCATGTAAAGGCAGAAGGAGAAAGCCAATTCCACAAAGTTGTCCTCTGACCTCCACACACACACCACTGCACACAAGTTACCCCCACCCCATAACAGTAAATATAAGAACCTCAATGTAATACCATATGTAATAACACTAAATTCAATAGGAGACCCGTTCTTGCTCTCTAACAAGTAGTTTAGTGTCCCAGTTAAAAATTCCCATAAAACAAATTTTACAAACTATCACCTAAAACATTAAATATATCAGAGGTCTCCTGTACCCTAGTGTCATATTTAGATTTAATGATGATAATAACAATGCATTACCTAAAATCTGCTTTAGGCTTAATCTGTACTCTTTTACCAAAAGAAAACTCAAACCTTTATTATACTGTTGTTGACAAAATCGGTCATGAAACCATGGAATTTGAAACTCAGGGCACTCCAAGCAGACTGCTCTATTTAACTCCATAAAACGAAACAGGACACTTTTACGTAGAGATGAAGATAAAACTGAAATTAAAGACAAATTATCAATGGATTTTAAGCTGAGACCTAGCAGGGACCAATAGCTTTTTCATATTATTATTTCTACAGTTGGTTGATACTTTTATTCTCACAGGATAAAATTACTTCATTTGTATACAAATGCTTAAAACATTTTAAAACTGTTACATTTGGTAACACAAGACCAACTTCTACACTTGGTAAATTTTAAAACTACACTTTAAAAAATGCTACCAAGAATTTTCACTGGACTTTATAATATTCCATATTTTGGAATTTATCTTCAGGAAACATTAAATAGTCATATGTGACAATTCATCATTTATAATGAAGCATTGGAAACAACCTATAAAATAAACAAGTAAAGGTCCCCAATGGAGCTCAGTGACAGAATGCCTGCAGTGCCTGCATAGCCCCTGGGTTCAATTCATAGCACTGCATTAAAAAAGGGGGGAGTTCAAGATAATAAATAAGCTTTGTTTTTTTTGTTTGTTTAATTTGAGACAGGGTCTCCCTATAGCCCCAGCTGGCCTGGAACTCACAGAGATCCACCTGCCTCTCCCTCCTGAGTGCTGAAATTAAAGGCATGCACCCATCATAAATAAATTTTATTATAGCTATATAATAGCATGTTATGTATCCAATAAAAATATGACATTAAGGCCGAGTGTGGTGGCACACGCCTTGAATCCCAGCACTTGGGAGGCAGAGACAGGCCAGCCTGGTTTACACAGTGAGTTCCAGGACATCTGGGGCTACAGGGAGACCCTGTCTCAAAAAGACCAAAAAAAAAAAAAAAGACATTAAAAAATGACATTAAAATATTTAATGACATGGAAAATTGTTCAAAATATAGCTCAATGAAAAAAGCAACATAAAAAGTGAAGATACTTTAAAACTCCATTCATTTTAAAATATACTTCAATGTATAAAATTTTACATAAGATCAGGAGTAAAACAAGAAATACTCCAAACACTTGGGATGGGGCTCAGTGGTAGAGTATGTGCTTTGCATGCAAGAGGCCCAATCCTTAATTAATTTTAAACTTCTATGTGTTTCCCAAATTTTCTAGTATCATGAATTCTTTTTTTGTTTTAATTTTCTTTCTTTTTTTTTTTTTTTTTTTTTGACAGGATCTCATCATGAAGTTCTGACTGGCCTGGTTGACTTAAAGCTTGTAGCCATCCTCCTGTCTCAGCCTCCCAAGTGCTAGGATGATAGGCATGTTTATACTATATTTATATGTTACATATAATTATGTATAATTACAATCTCCCAGTCCTAGAAATGAATCCCAGGATTTCACAAATGCTAGGTAAGCATTCTACCATTAAAGGATATCCCAGTCAGTCATAAAATGTTTTTATTAACAAAAAAAATTAGCCTTTAAATGCTTCATTATAAACTGAGCTGAAACCTGTACATAAAGATCAAGTGATAAATTTAAAAAGTAAAATGTAGATACATACTTTCAAGTTGCGAATCTAATTTGGCTAAGAATTCAATGTTAAAAATTTTCTTTAGCAGATCTTCTGGAAAATATTCAATTGTAGCGAAAGAAAAAGCAAGAAACACTAACTTAAGAGGATCCAAAGTACCTAAAAAAGTAAGTTAAAAATTATAATGTACAGCTGCTTCACATCTATGAAACAAAAAACAAAAACAGGTAAGTTATTCAGATAAAGCCAAGTTTATAAAAAAAAAAAGAAAAAAGATATAAAAGAAAACAAATTATATAAACACAGCATTCACAAAACTAATCTACATAGTTACAAGCCAACAGTAATGTACGGGGTGGAGGGGAATGCGTAAGAAAGATGTACAAGAGAGGAGTACTGTGAACTGGGCATGGTGGCATAGCCTTTAATCCCAGCACTTGGGGGTGGGGGTGCAGAGGCAAGTGGATCTTTGTGTGTTCAAGAACAGCTTGGTCTATATAGTGAATTTCCAGCCAACTGGGCCTACATAGTGAGGCCCTGTCTATAAATAAATGAATAAATAAATAAACAAGTAATTTTGAGAGAGAAAAAGTACTGTGGTAATACTGTTTCTTCATCTTAGTACAATTCCCTGGACAATTCAATCTATGGAAATTCAACTCATACAAAGGTTATATGAATATTACTGTTATTATACTTTAAGTTGCCTTGAAAAGAGAAAGAGTTGAAAACGAAAAGACAGTGATATGTAAAAACTGATCCAGCCTCTAGAATAATAGTTCTCAGAATGTGTATCTGTCTAAGCACTTCATATGTATGAATTCATTTCTGAACACAGCAGGAACAGGTATCAGTCTGCCTGATAAATTAGTATAGAGAAGCACTGAGGAAAGAAATGGATTGCCCAAGGCCACAGAGTTAGCAAGCACATGGTGGGGTTTAACTCAGACTCCAGTGCTAGCAGCCAAAGTTGCTGTGGGGATCTCAAGACTTGCAGCTAAGTGTACACACACCAATCAACTCTTACCTCACACTTCCTCCCTTATGTTACCTACAGCATACCAGGTAGCCCATGCTTGAAAATTATTCACCTGATTTACTTCATTCAAGAGATATTTGTTATATTTTGGAAGGGGGCAAACTAACATGACCCACTGGCATGAGATTTTTTTTTTTTTTTTTTTTTTTTTTTTTTTTTTTTTTGTCTTTTTGAGACCAGGCTGGCGGTGAACTCACAAAGATTCATCTGCCTCTGCCTCCCAAGTGCTGGGACTAAAGGTGTGGCCATGAGAATTCTTATAAAGGACAGAAACAACAAACTTAAAATATGTACAGGCATGGTGGCACATATCCATAATTCCAGCACTTAGGAGACTTAAGCAGGAGGACTATACAAGTTTGAGACCAGCCCTGCTACATAAGTTTCTGGTCTGCCTAGGCTAATGTGAAATTCTGTTTCCAAAACCAACCAAACAATCAAAAATCCTTCCTTTTGGATTTCTTTGCTGATTTACTTTTAAAAGAAAGACCAAATCACAAATGAGGCTAATAGCCAAGCATGCAGTTATACAACTGTAATCTCAGCACCTGGAAGGTGAAGACAGGAAAATCAGAAGTTCAAAGCTAGCCTCAGCTACATATAAAGTTTGAGGCCAGTCTGGGCTACATGAGATCCTATATCATTACACGCTTGAACACACACACACACACACACACACACACACACACACACACACACAGAAACATAAAAATAAGGAGCCTAGCAGGAATGATTTCTATCAACTATCCTGACAAAATTACTCTTCATTCAAAATAAGGAAAATTCCATTTATTTATTTATTTATTTAATTTATTTTACTGGAATTGAACCTAGAGCCTCATCCATACTGGGCAAGTGCTCTACCAATGAGATATATTCCCAGCCTGCCCTTTTTTGTTGTTGTTGTCTTTTTGAGACAAGGTCTCCCTGTAGCCTCCAGCCAGCCTGGAATTCACTATGTAGAACAGGCTTGAACTCAGAGATCCACCTGCTTCTGCCTCCTGAGTGCTGGGATTAAAGGTGTGCACTACCATGCCTGGCATTTTTTTTTTTTTTTTTTTTGGTCTTTTTGAGACAAGGTCTCCCTGTAGCCCCAGCTGTCCTGGAACTCGCTATGTAGACCAGGCTGACCTTGAACTCACAGAGATCCACATGCCTCTGCCTCCCAAGTGCTGGGATTAAAGGCATGCACCACCATGCCCAGCTATGCCTGGCATTTTTACACTGTTTTAACAGATGCAAAATAACACCTGAGCAGCAACTCTTCAGATAATACATAAATATCTACCTAGGCTCTTAAGAAATGTTTACTTTGAACCCACATAAAAATCCAGCTTACTTTTTCTTAATTGTGATGGTTTGAATGAGAATGTCCCCAATAGGTTCCAAGTATTCTAACATTTTGTCCCCAGTAGGTGGTGGTGTTTGGGGAGGTCTTAGAGGGTGTGGCCATGTTGGAGGAAGCACATCACTGGGGGGCAGGCTTAGAGAGTTCTTAAACCTTGCCAGATCTCTAGTTGTGCCCTGTTCCCTGTGCCTGCTTGAAGATGTGAGTGCCTAGCTTCTGCTCCTACTCCAGCCACCTCTGCCACCATGCCTCCCCGCCATGATGGACTCTTGTCCCTTTGGAACCATAAGCTAAATAAACTCTTTTCTAAGTTCCCATGGTGTTTCTATCACAGCAATGGAAAAGTGACTAATACAGTAACTGGTACCAGAGAGTAGGATGTTGGCTGTGAAGAACGACCATGTGGGGTTTTAGAGGACTATGGAAGGCTTTGGAAGTTTGGGCTAGAAAAGCAGTTGATTGCCATAAGCAGAATTTAACAGGCTATTCTAGTAGGTGCCTGGAAGAAAGTAGTGCTGAGAACAATTTAGTTCCAGAGGGAAATAAGGACTTAAGCAACAATTGGGATATTTTGGCAAAGAGTCTGGCTGAGTCTGCCCACAGCCAAAAAGCTTGCCTGAGGCTAAGTGGAAAAGCAATGGACTAATTTCTCTGGCAGAAGAAATTTCAAGACGGCCTAACAAAGAAATGGTGGCACGGCTATTAATGATTAATGTTATGTAGATCTACAGTGAAAAAGAGCATATGAGGCAGAAAGAAATACAGAACGTACAGTTTGGATTGAAAAAGAGCACTAGGAAGATAATGTTGGAGCTAAGGTGCTGAAGGAGAGGATCCCTTTGATAAGATTAAATGATTAAGGAGAGGCCTAGAGATTTGCACTTAAACAATGGAGAGAGTGCCTCCAGGGCAAGACCACACCCAGCTAAGCCTCCACTTGTGACAGAAAAATACTGCAGGGGTTTTTCTACACAAAAACCAGTGAGGAAAAAAACTTCAAAAGTAGATAAAACAGGCTGGGGTCCATCCTAAACTTGCAGCCAAACTTGGCAGTGTCATTCACTTGGTCCTGGCTTTAGAGACATGAAAGATGCAAGAGCAAAGGGGTCATTGGTTCTTCCTCCAGTTTCAGAGAGCCACTGAGACCAGGCAGTGTGCAGCAGGGGTTCCCTGCATAAAGAATGCCCAGATAGACCATTTCATGAAGCTGTCTGGTTGGCAGAAGGTCAAGTCCAGTTGGCAGTAGAGCCCCCAAGATGTTTGTGATGCCAGAACTATGAGACAACTGCCAAGAAGAGCTGCATACAAGGAGTTGTACCAGCCCAAGAGAGAGAGATGTATGTTTCACAGTAAAGCTGGAGAGGCTGAGTCATCTAAGCCCTTTGGAAGAAAAGTCCCAGAAGCTGGACACAGAGCTACTGGATTTGGTATTTGGCTGACTAGTTTTCAGTCCTGTTTTGGTCCAATATTTCCTCACTATGCCTCTGTTCCTCCCTTTTGGAATGGGAATGTGTATTCAGTTCCACTCTATGTTGGGAGTATGTAATTTGTCTTTTGATTTCATAGGGGCTTACACTTAAGAGATTGCTAAGTCTCAGAAGAGACTTTAGACTGTGGAGTTTTGAATAGTATTGAGACAGGTAAAGACTATGGGGACTTTTACGGTTGGAAAATGTATTTTGCATTTTATATGGTCATGAGCCTATGGGGGCTAGGGAGTGGAATGTGATGGTTTGAATGGGAATGTCCCCAATAGGCTCCAAGTAGTCCAACATTTTATCCCCAGTTGATGGTGTTGTTTTGGGAGGTTTTGGAGGGTGTGGCCATGGTGGAAGAAACACATCACTGGGGAGCAGGCTTAGAGAGTTCTTAAACCTTGCCAAAGCGCCAACTGTGCTCTACTTCCTGTGCCTGCTTGAAGATGTGAGTGCCTAGCTTCTGCTCCTACCTCAGCCACCTCTGCCACCATGCCTCCCTACCATGATGGCCTCTTGCCCTTTTGAAACCATAAGCTAAATAAACTCTTCTGTAAGTTCCCTTGGTCATGGTATTTCTATCACAGCAACAGAAAAGTAACCAATACACCAATAAAACATCCAACTGCATTCTAAATACTTATCCTTATACCCACAGATGAATGTACCTCTTGCCCCTCATCAAAGAAGATTCTTTTTGCAACAGATGGAAACTTACAGAAATCCACAACTGATCAAAATTCAGAGAATAAGTGACTGTGGGGTACCCAGCCCAAACTGATACAATTTACAATACAACCCCTATATCTGAGGCTCAGGAAAAATCACAGAAGAAGAGGTACAAAGATTGTAAGAGCTAGAGGACTAGAGACTGGCTGCTAGTATCTTCTAGACATGACAGGGAAGTTGCACCCATGAAATCGCAACTATATGACTGTCTAAACGAAACATGCACAACACCACCAACTGACATGCCAGTGTGAATGGGGGAAATTTCACAAGGTCTCATCTCTAGATGAACTACAGGCAATCAGTACCTGCTGGGAGGGAATCAGTTTTCCCAAGGGACAAGCTCCCTGATACATTATCCAACCCCAAGTGATCAGCCCTAAACACATGAACAGATGAGCAACACTAAATGGACTCAGTTTTCACACACACACACACACACACACGCACACACAAATGAAGAAGAGGTCATAAATTTGAGAGGGTGTGGAGCAGGACATGGAAGGAGTTCGAGTGGGGAAAGTGAAGGGTGGAAATGATATAAATATAGTACTCCGATATGAAATTCTGAAAAAAAAAATTAAAGTTAAATTTAAAAAACAAGTGAATGCATCTGAAAAAAAAATACAAGTGTAAAAAATAAAATAAAATAGGCTGGGCATGGTGGTGCATGCCTTTAATCCCAGCACTTGGGAGGCAGAGGCAGGCGGATCTCTGTGAGTTCAAAGCCAGCCTGGTCTACATAGTGAGTTCCAGGACAGCTGGGGCTACAGGGAGACCCATCTCAAAAAGACATACATACATACATACATACGTACATACATACATACATATATACATACATAAAATAAAATAAAATAAAACAAAACAAAACAAAATAAAATAAGTAAGATGGCATGGCAGTGCTGGGAGGCAAAGACAGGAGGATCCCAGTGGCTTGCCCGGCTTGCCGAACTAGCCAAATCTGTTAAGCTCCGGGTACAGTCAGAGACTTTGTCTCAAAACGTAAGGTGAAGGACTGAGGAGAAGGCTCAGTGCATAAAGAGCTTCAAAGGCAAGCTTGAAGGCCTGAGTTCAAAATCCCAAGAACCCACATAAAGTTGGATGAGTTAGGAGGCAGAGACAGGAGACAACTGGGAATCCAACTAGCCAAGAATATAGTGGCGAACAAGAGACCCTATCAAACAAGGGGGAAGGTGAGGACCAACACCTGAGGTTGTCCTCTGATTGCTAAATGTGCACTGTGACATATGTGCACCTGTACTCCCACACTAGAACATGCATGCACATACACAAAGTTTTTTTTTTTTTCCAAAAAATAAGATGGAGAACAATTGAGGAAGATGCCTGTTGTTGACTTCTGACTTCCACATATGCATGCACACATACACCACACACACACACACACACACACACACACACACACAAGTTTCAATCTAGCCTAAGCTACATATTGAGACCCTCCCTGTACTGAAACACAAAAAGCATTTTGGTAACAACTGGGGAGATAGGATAATGAACTCAGTAGTAGATGGTAGTTGTTCTTATGGTAGTAGTTATAAAGTAGTTATAAAGAAGAATGTATCTTTCCCCTGAGGTATATAGAGCTGGTGATGATTCTAAGGTTCAGCTTATACATACAGGTGAACGTTATCATGACTCAAGCTACACTGCTATAGGGAATTTCTATACAGACATTTTATTACCCTTTCACTTTTAATGGATTTTTGAAAACCTTGATAACAAAAAAGATAAAACAAAAAAAATCCCCCTCAAAGTTAATACTAAGTTAAAAGTATGTAGGGGAGATATTCTAGACTGTGAGAGACTAAAAAGATAACCACCAAAGGCCACAAGTGAACATTACAGTGGTTATTTGGGGTACAATTAGGGAGACTTTAAACAAAGGCCCTGTACGAGGCATTGAAGGACTGATATGTTTCAGTATGTGCTGATACAAGAGGGTTTCATCAGGGCTGGAGAGATGGCTCAGCAGTTAAGAAGACTGGTTGTTCTTGCAGAAGACCTGGGTTCAAATCCCAGCACCCACATGGCAGCTAACAACTGTCTGTAATTCCAGTCCTAGGAGATACGACAGCATCTTCTGACCTCCACGGGCATTTCACAACATGGGTGCACTTACCTACATGTAGGCAATACACAAATACACATAAAATAAAAATAATAAAATAAAATAAAGAGGGTTTCATCATTCTTAGTAAGTGTAATTAGGGTTAAGGGTCACAATGCTATAATATGCTTTGGAAAAAAGGTGAGCAAAAGAGATAAATATGACAAAGTGTTAACATTACTGAATCCACACAGTGAATGAATACACTGGTGTCCCTTGTCCAATTCTTATATTACATAAGCTTGAAATTTTTTCATACTAAAAATGTAGTAAAAACAGATACTTTTCTTTATTTGAAACATGGTCTTAACAATACATATATATAGCCCAGGCTGGCCTTGAACTCTGTAGCCCAAGCTGGCCTCAAACATGCAAGTTGGCAGTATAAACATGTACCACCACACCCAGCTCAAAACATGTTATTTAGTAATAAATCAGCTCAAAACATGTTGTGTAGTAATAAATTCATGGCTGTAATGATTACCTGTTAGTGAGGGACATCCTGACATGCCTTAACTCCTACTTAGATCAAGGACCTTCTAATCTACTCATTCAATATATTGCCAAATAACTTACCTACCTACATAAGAATTAAGGCACTGCATGCATGCTCCAAAAAATTCATCCCTTTGAGGAGGATCATAGTTCAAATTGCTGAATGGAAGAGTAATAGCAAAGACTGACAAAGGATGGATCTGTACAACCAAAATAAAAACAGTATAGTTTAAGCTTCAGCAAAATCAATTTTAACCTATCATTTTGGATGAAGTCTTTCTAACATGTATATAGTTAAATGACAACTGTACTACTTTATTAATTTTTGCATCCTGCTATAATTTATTTAAATTTGTGACTAATTAGCTAATGCCAAAAAAACTGAATAAGCCAACCTTCAGTTTATTTCTGCTATACGTAAAATTCTATTCCAGAATTTATTACTTACTCAAAATGAATAGGAAAATGGTATCAGTACATTTTTTAGAATCACTGTATCACAATATAATTAAAGAAGGTTCTTAGGCAGGCATGGTGGCACACACCTTTGATCCCAGCACTCAGGAGGCAGAGGCATGTGGATCTCTATGAGCTTGAGGCTACCTTGGTCTACATAATGAGCTCCAGGGCTACACAGTGAGATCCTGTCTCAAAAAAAAGTTTCTTAATTTATAGTCATTAGAATTTTTCTTTTGTACTTTTTTTCCCTCCAGTTTTTTGGGACAGGGTTTCCCTAGAGCCCCAGCTAGGCTGGAACTCACTATGTAGACCAGGTTGGCCTCAATCTCACAAAGATCCGCTTGTCTCTGCCTCCAGAGTGCTAAAATCAAAGGCATATGCCACTAGTCTGGCCTCAGAGTTTAATTTTTAAACTTCAAACTAGAATCCAAGCTCTAAGAATATTTATGATAAAAAGTGTATGCTTCTAAAAGTTGACAACAATGTAAAACTAAGGTATAACATTTAAATTTCACCTTTTCAATCTGTTGAACAACCACTGAAGCTATCCTATCAAGTAGCAGAGTACTGAGGTAGTTAGTTCTAGAAAGAAAAGATGCGATCTTTGCAACGTTGATGTAACTGATTTCATCCACAAAACTCTGTAAAATAGCAACTGATTCTTCTACAAGCGATTCATGAAACCAGTCTCCTCTTAAAGATTTAAATTCGTCCCATAATAGATCCAAACTGTTGCTTTGCTGTAACCGTTGATGACCATAGTGATCTAGTGTTTGTAGTAGTTTCAGTTGCTTTTCAGTAGTAGTGCCCAAACACATATGACCATACTGAATCCACCTTAAAAGCGAGGCAGCAAACACATTCAGTTCCTTGAGGTTGCACTGTGGTAAAACTTCTTCAATTCGGGACACTACCATATCATTAAGGTCAGGAAAAGGAAGTATGCAAAGAGCACAGACCAGGCTGGAAATCTCACTTGGCATGAAGCTAACTTCCAAATGACTATCAGATAAAGGAAAAGAAAAAGAATAAAATTAACACATCAGCAACAACAACAAAAAATATGAATTAAAATATGGATATACAATTATAATAGGTGAGGTAATCTTAGAATAACAGGTAATTTAAGATTAGACAAATTCACAGACTCCAGGTCATCAAGGATTACTAAGGAAAGGTTAAGATGATATAAAACATGCTCCAAATTATTTTTATGCAAAACAAAACCATCATCAATGGGAAACAAAAGGTCAGTGTCAGAATAATGTTTTCAATGTTATTACTGGAAGAAGAATTTGGGCTCAATTTCTGTTGTGACCAGCCAGGAGTTAATAAGACCTTGAAAAAGGCCCTGGCATGGACCTTTTCTCAGTAATATCACTTCCCTTTTTATTTCTGTGTATATACAGCAAATCCGGTCTTACACACACACACACACACACACACACACACACACACACATATGCATGTGGACAAATCTTAAATGACTTCATTCTCTACTTGTCCTTTCCTAAATCTGCACAGTAATTATCCTACCTCAAGGACAGTAATTGTTAACAAATTAAAACTGGGAATTTTTAAAGAACCTTTAGGTTTAGAAGCAGTAGAAGGAATGACTCCATCTAAATTAAATGCAAAATTGAGTTACTGTGATTTTTGTTGTTTGCTGTTTTTGGAGTTTTAAGATCCTATCTAAGGGGCTAGAGAGATGGCTCAGTGGTTAAGAACACTGATTGCTCTTGCAGAAGACCCAGATTCGAATCCCAGCGCCCACATGGCAGCTAACAATTGTCTGCAACTCCAGTTCCAGGGGATTCGATAGCCTCTTCTGTCCTCTGCAGGCATTGCACGACACGGGTGCACTTACCTACATGCAGGCAATACACGCATACACATAAAATAAAAATAATAAATAAAATATTTTTTTTAAAAAAAAAGAGAAAAAAAAAGATCCTATTTAAAAAGATGCAAAGGGCCAGGCATGGTGGCGCACGCCTTTAATCCCAGCACTTGGGAGGAAGAGGCAGGCGGATCTTTGTTGTGAGTTCAAGGCCAGCCTGGTCTACATAATGAGTTCCAGGATAGCTGGGGCTACAGGGAGACCCTGCTTCAAAAAGACAAAAAGAAAAAGAAAACTTTTTAAACTACAATGAATCATAAAGGCTTTTGCTACTCAGATTCCACATTAAATCTCTGAAAGGATGAACAAAATAATTAAGTAAATTACCCCCTTAACAAGAACCAAGAAAAGGACAAACTTTCTTACACCTAATATATTAAACTCATTCTCATTGAGAACATGTTCTTAGTCCTCCTTTCAAATTCTTCTGACCATGGGCCATCAATGTATTATAATACACTGGGCCAGAATCCAGTCTTTTGATTATAACATTAGTCTCAGACCTGGTAATTTAGAAATGAGAATAAATGAAACTGATGAAGAAGGAAATGATTCATCAAGTTTGAACCTCATTAATCTTTTTTCCTGTATTAGGGACTGAATTCAACACTAGGCAAGTGCTCTACTACTGAGCTATATCCCTAGAGCCTATCCTTATCTTTAAAACTTTTTTTAAAAATTAAGACTTCATTTTAGTCCCATAAAAATCAATGGAAAACAAACTTCCTAACTGGAACACAAATGTTATATCAATAGAAAAAGAAGGTAATTTTAAGCTATTAATGTAAAGGAAAAATTCTATATAAAACAGTCTTTTGCACTAACATTACCATTAAATATGTTTATTTGTTCAGTTATGCTGCAAATCACATGCAGGGCTCATACATGCTAGGACTGAACACTACCACTGAGCTATAGCCCAGCCCTCATCATTTTAGAAATAAAAATACTCAATTTTATCTCTAAATATTCCAGCAATCCTACACATAATTAAACAAAACAAACATGTGGCTAGATTAAAAAGTGAAATACTTATCTTACTAAATAAATAGATCTTACCTAAGAAGTAATTTTCTGAGTTTCACAAAAAACTCTTTACTTTGGAAACGTAGAAAAATCAATGCTTGAGTTATCTTTAGAAGATCTACTGGTTTATAGTTATCCAAATGTTTATGCAGAACTGAAGCAATTCTAAAAAGAACACACATTATAACCAGTTCATTCGCTTATTCATTAAACACTTGCTATACAGCCTTCTTGCCACAAACTCTGCTCTGTGCTGGAGGGCAGCAGAGAGTAAGACCCTGTTTTTTGTTCTGTCTCGAGACATTGAAAGAAACATAAACAAGTAAAATCAAATCAAGTAAGAACAACCAATGAAGTGTGGATCTGAAATACCACTCAAGTATAAATAGCAAGAGGAGAAAAAAAGCATAGTTTTGCTTCCTAAATTAAAAAGGCAGACACCAATTTCTAATCCCTTCCTAACATTTTTTTTCTATTTTATTATTTTTATTTTATGTGTATGAGTGTTTTGCCTGCATACATGTAAGCATATTCATGGATGCAATGCCACAGAGGTCAGAAGACACTGTCGGATCTCCTGGCACTGGAGTTATAGTTGTTAGTGCCATGTGGATTCTGGGACCAAACCCAGGTCCTTGGCAAGAGCAGCAAGTGCTCTTAAACTCTGAGTCATCTCTCCGTCATCCCGTTAACAAAATTTTTACGGAGTTAATAACAATTAGCAATACTAACTTAATTTTCTTCCGTAAATCCATTGGCCCTCAAACAGATCTGCTTAAAAGCAGTAGAAAGAGGAAAAAGAGAAAACCTGTCATGAGAAATGGAACAGAGGAACATTCAAACAAAGGGATATATAATAAGGAAAAATTAAGCATATGTAAGTTGAATGGCTCTTTTTTTTTTTCTTCTTAAATTTCTAGTTACCAAAAAGCCAGTATATATGGCACTAGGCATGACTATGGCATGAGACAAGTCTATATGGAGGCTAATTCCTCTATAGGAACTGTTCCCTTGAAAAGTAGAGTCCTCACCTACAGTCTCCACTCTTGTGGATTATGATGCTCTACTTGAGTATAACTGCAGGAATAAATGAAACAAAAAATGCTATAGACAATTTTATCTCTATTTTGAAATAACTGGAACACAACATCTCAAGTGTTAATTCCTTATTTCTTCAAAATAAAAAAGCAGATACTTAGGAATGACAACTAAACTTTTAACACCATGAATTTCAGAAAAACCTACTTTGCAATCAAATGTGAGTTTCTGCTTTCCATATTCTCCAAAGTTTCCAACACTGCTAGGGTTTGCTGGCTGGTCAGCTCCTCTGACATTAACAATATAGTTGATTTAAGCCTACAGGCAAAAAGAAATTTTTTTATGTTGAAAAACTGAAAATTGGCTTTCAATTTGTTTTAAATAACAGTTCTTAGGTAATAAATAGAAAACAAACCTCACAGACATACACTGAATTCCATGCATGATCCTAATTTTCTTCTCACATATTTGGAAATGGTGCCATTTCAATTTTTTTTTTTTTTTCTTTTTGGAGACAGGGTTTCAGTACAGTACCTCAAGTTGGGCTTTAACTAGAAATCTTCCTGCCTTAGCCTCCCAAGTGGTAAGATTATAGGCATGTGCCAATATTATTAAATAAAAATGAGAGTAGGGCATGGTGTAACATGCCTTTAATCCCAGCACTCAAGAGGCAGAATCTTCATAGTGAGTTCCAGGCCAGCCAGGGCTACTAAGTAAGACCCGGTCTTAAAAATAAAAAAATTTTTTAAAGTATATATTTATATTCTTTTCCTTTAGAGCAAGTCCTCAGCATAATCCAATCTTAATCTGTTTCTTAAGAAAACAACACAGGCCAGCCAAGGTGGTGCAGACCTTCAATTCCAGCACTCAAAAGACAGAGGAAGGAAGATCTCTACGAGATTGAGGGCAGCCTGGCCTACCCAGCAAGTTCCAGGCCAGGTGGGGCTATGATAATTATAAAACACTATGAATCAAGCCAGGCGTGGTGCATGCCTTTAATCTCAGTTCCAACTCATGGCAGTCCTCCTGTCTTAGCCTTTCAAATGTTGGGATGACATGTGTACTACCAAGCCTGATTTCCCCGTCTTTAAACCCTTTCCATCTCAGCAAAAGTTGTTCTCAACTCTGTCCCAAAAATTGAGAAAGTTCAAACTATCCTGCCAAGTGTGGTGATACCCATTTGTAATCCCAGTGCTCAGGAAGTTGAGACAGGAGGACCAGGAGTATAAGTCCAGCCTCTTCTACATGTTCAGTTCAAAACCAGCCTGGGCTATATAAAAAAAAAAAAAAAAAAAAAAAAAAAAAAAACCAACCAACCAAACAAAAAAACATAAATCAATGAAATTATCTAGCCCTAGAAAGCCAAGGAACTAATGACTGATGTTTTTAAAATATTCTTACTTTATTTTAAACATGGTGTCAACATATAACTGGCTGGCCTGGACCTTGCTATATAAACCAAAACAGCTTCAAATGCCTCTGACTCCAGATTTCAGGAATCATACGCATGCACCACCCAATGTTTTAAAGCTGGTAAGATGTAGCCACAATGTCAAGTTACCTTCATAATAACAAAATCCTATACCTCACGCACTTACTATAATACTATAACCAGAAAATTAACAAATGTGGCCCATTTTGAAACTATACAAAGTGCTGCAGTGATAAAACAATCAAGATGTGTGTATCTTTTGGATTAAAATATTTATTTTTTGTGTTTTTCAGACAAGTTTCTCTCTGTGGCCGAGGCTGGTCTCAAACTCCTGGCAATTCTGCCTCAGTCTCCCAAGTGCTGTTACCATAGGTGTGAGGCAACATGCTGCAGCTTTCTTTTGGAATAATTTAGAAGGAGAATTCAAATCAGGAATGAGGATAGGAGGACAATATTTTACTCACACTGGACAACTTCATGCCATTCTTGACACCAACCTTATCAATTTTTTAAAATCCAAAGTTCTCCCCAGAGCTTTTCCCAACCACATTATAGTTTTCTTTTTCTTCTGGCCTGTCCAAAGCACTATCTTTAAAACTAATTTTAGTACTTACTCATAAAGTATGTTGTAATGCTATGGCATTTACATATTTTAATTATTTCAAATTATAACAATTGTATAAAATGTTTGATTCATCCTAACTGAAAAGATAAATTCATAGGCAGGAATTCAGTTAAATTCAACTTTTGTACTGCTATAGCATGAGGATTAAAAATTTTTTTTCAATTTATATGTATGTATGTGTATATATCCGTATGTTAGGGGTGCCTAGCAAGGCCAGAAGAGTTCACCAGAGCCCTTGGAGCTGTGTCTCAGGTGGTCATGAGCTGCCTGATGTAGGTGCTGGACACGAGTACTTAGGAACCGAATTCCGGGCCTCTTCACTTAATCACTGAGCCACCGCTCTAGCCCTTTGCTTTTTGACACAGTCTCACTAGCCCTGGCTAGCCTCAAAGTCATGACCCTCCCACTTTAGCCTCCCAAATGCTGGATTACAAAGAATGTGCTATCATGCCCAGCTGACATGAAAATTAACTAGTGTTTGATAACAAAAGATTCTGTAAAAGTTTTATAAGTACCCTCCTTTCATCTAAACAGTTTCTTAAATTTTTCCATATAATTCAAAGAACTTTTTTTTCTTTTTGGTCTTTTTGAAACAGGGTTTCCCTGTAGCCCCGGCTGGTTTGAAACTCACTATATAGACCAGGCTGGATTTGAATTCCCACAGTGCTGGGATTTGAATTCTCCTGGGTGCTAGGAGCAAAGGCATGAGCCATCACACCCAGCTCAAAGGACTATTATAAAAATGTCCTCCATAAAGCTTTCCCTAGGAGAGATATGGGCTAGATCATCCATTATAGGGGTCTTAGAACCCCTGCTTAACTAAAAGTACTAATCATACTTATCTACAATTCGAAATATTCCACATATTTATGCTGGGTAGAGGAATGCTTTTTTTCAAGGTCTCACTGTGTAGCACTGGCTGGCCTGGAACTCACTATGCAGACAGGCGGGCTTTGAATTCACAGAGAGATCCACCTACCTCTGCCTCCCCAGGACTGGGATTAAAGGCATGCCCTATCACATCCAGTGGGTAGAGGAATTTTTTTTTTTTTGGGGGGGGGTCTTTTTTGAGACAGGGTCTCATTAGGTAGACCAGGCTATCCTCGAAATGACAGAGATTCGCCTGCCTGGGTAGAGGAATCTTATACCATGTATAAATCTACTCACATTACCTAGGACATGAGAATCTTATCAGACTCATGTATTGTTTAATATTTATTCACCTTCTAGCAATATCAATGTTTTATTTTATTTACTTATTTATTTATTTATTTATTTATTTATGGTCTTTTAAGACAGGGTCTCCCTGTAGCCCCAGCTGACTTGGAACTTGCTATGTAGACCAGGTTGGCCTTGAACTCACAAAGGTCTACCCACCTCTGCCCTGCTAAGTACTAGGATTAAAGGCATATACCACACCCAGCTCCATATTTTTTTTAATATTTTATAATTTTTATTTTTATGTGTATGCATGTATTTTTATGTGTATGCATGTATATAGGTGTACCCGTGATGTGCAGTGTCCGAGGATGTTAGAAGAGGGCATCAGATGCCCTGCGACTGGACTTACCAGATAGTTCTTAGCCACCTTGTGGGTGCTGGGACACAAATCCAGGTCTTTTTTTATTTTTTTATTTTTTTTTGGTCTTTTTAAGACAAGGTCTCCCTGTAGCCCCAGCTGGCCTGGATTCCCTAATTGAAACCAGGCTGGCCTCGAACTCAGAGATCTGCCTGCCTCTGCCTCCCAAGTGCTGGGATTAAAGGCGTATGCCACCACACCCGGCTTTGTTTTTATTTTATGTGCATAAATGTTTTGCTTCTATGTATACATGTGCATCACATGTGTGCAGTGACCACAGAGGCTGGGCGGTGTCAAATCCCTGGAAAAGAAGTTACAGGCAATTGTAAGCTGCCATTTGCGTACTGGGAATGGAACCCCTCAGCAAGAGTAGCAAGTACTCTTAACCACTGCACCATCTCTCCAGCCCCTATCCCAAAAATTTCTACATATATAAAATGTCCAACGAAACACCAGTCCTGGTGGCACAGACCTATAAGTCCAGGAACTTGGAAAGCTGAGATAGGAAAACTGCAAGCATTCAAGACCTGCCTGAGAGGCTAGAGACAGTTCAGAGGTTAAGAGAACTGGATGCTCTTGTAGAGGACCCAGGTTCAGTTCCCAGCACCCACATCATGGCTAATACTCATTCTTAACTCCAGTTCCAAGAGATCTGATGACCCTCCTGGCCTCTGTGGGCATTGCATGACACAGATGCGCTTACATACATGGAGGCGACACATATGCACTGCAAGCGCTTTTGTTTTTTCAGCTGAGATCCCTATCTCCTTGCTTTGCAACTCAGGCTGGCCCAGAACTCCCTATGTAACCCAGGGTGGCCTCTAACTTACAACCTTCCTCTCAAGAGCTGGGTACAGGATATAGCCCTGTACCACTATAACCAATGCAGGGTGTGTTTCTGATGTCAAATATCATGAAGATAACAGGTGTAAACTGATACACTGTTCTAGAGCTACAAGGAGAACTAAGCATGAAGCTAAGCATGAAGAATCCAACAAGAAAAGTATAGCATTTTAAACTCACTCACCATTTCTTTTCTTCAGGTCCTGCCATTGGTCCTAATGTGACAAACAATCTCACAAAGCTTGCAGGGTGATCAGAGAGAGGAACCATCTCAGTTAGCCTCCTTTTAGCCACTTCAATAAATTCAAAACTATGGAATTGTAGAGACTGATACAGGCTAAGTATTTTACTAATGGAATCCAAATCAAGATGGTTCACATTGCTTATCAACACTTGATTACACTTTTCTAACAGTGGGAAATAGCTATATTTAACATTTCGAAGAAACAGTACTACCCTTCTTGCAATGTTGACCTTGGAAGAGTCTACAGTGTCAAAAAGAAATTCCGTTTTGTTCACTAGTCGTTCCTGGAAATCTTGTGATATTAAAGAAGATATGCTGACCATCAAGACAGACAAGGCCCTGAAGAAGAAAAAAGACACAAAGATTTTATTTTTCTATTACTAAATAAAAATGACCAATCCTAAATTAAATGACTGGATATGGAAAGAAATTGGTAAACATATTGTTTTATGCCATAAACTATTTCATTTAAATGCTAATGGGACTTTAAATCTTATCTCCCAGCAATCTAGTACTTTCAGACAAAAACAATGAAATTGTTTTGTCAAGCCTGGTGGTATACCTGCAGTCCTAGTACCTGAGGCTGAGACAGGGATGATTGTTTTTAAAACTCCTCCTATACAATGTTTGTGTTTCTCTAGTTAAAATATTTAGTGTTAAAGCCGGGTGTGGTAGCACGTCTTTAATCCCAGCACTCGGGAGGCAGAGGCAGGCAGATCTCTATGAGTTCAAGGCCAGCCTGGTGTACATAGCAAGTTCCAGGACAGCTGGGGCTACAGGGAGACCCTGTCTCCAAAAGACCAAGAGAAAAAAAGAAACCCTGTCTCCAAAGGGGTGGTGTGTATATGGAGAATGTGAAGAGATGAGAGAAAGCATACAAATGGCCAGCAGTACATGAAAAGTACTCATTAGTAATCATCAGGGGATGCAAACGGAGACCACTGAGCTATTATGCCATACCTATTAGAATGGGTCTTAATAAAATGATGAAAGGTAAAGGTGCAGCAAGAACTCCGAACAAAGGGAAGTTCTGCACACCATAGGTGCAAATGTAAATTAGTACAGTTACACTGTAAAACAGCACAGCATGTACTCAAATGAAGATTACTATGTGATTGAGCAATCCCACTTCTGGGTATACAGCCATAGTATATATATATATACTTGCTGTTTGAAGTGTGAAAATATCAAAGATTGAATTCTCAAAAGGATCTAAATAATCTTGGGGGGTTGCTTGTTTTGTTTTTGAGAAAGGGTCTCATTCTGTAGCCCAGGCTATCCTGAAACTCACTATACAGTCAAGCGTGGAATCAAATTTACTATAGTCCTCCGCTTCCTGAGTGCTTGGATTATGAGCATGAGCCGCCACACCTGGTTTTAAAATTTTTTCAAAGGCTAAAAAAAACTGCAGTGATTATTATCTTTATTTTTGTATTAGTCATGTTTGTATGCTTCTTAAACTGTCTCTATTTCTACTATTAAAAACAAAAAGGAAATTCTGACACATGTCACAATGTGTCATGAAATAAGTCACAAAAGATAAATATATGATTCTACTTAAGTGAAGACCAAAAAGTATTCAAATTCATAGAAACAGAATTGTCACTACCAAAGTACATTGATTTATATATATGAACATATAATAATGAGATCCACTATTTTGTATGCTAACTAAAAAAGAAAAAGAATTGCCAATGGCAACGCTTGTGGGAAGGTAAAATTTAAGAGTTATTCCTTAGGGCTGGAGAGATGGCTCAACAGTTAAGAGCACTGGTTGCTCTTGCAAAGGACCAGGGTTCAATTCCCTGCAGTTACGTGGCGACTGACAACCATCCATAAATCCAGCTTCAGGGGATCTGATGTCCTCTTCTGACCTCCAAGGCCATTGCATGACATGGATGTACTTACATGCAGGCAAAACACTCATAAACATAAATCAATAAATTTTAAAAATCTATTCATAAGCAGCATACTTTTTTCCGGGATAGAATTTTGCTATGTAGCCCAGGCTGGCCTCAAACTGAAGATTCTCTAGCCTCCGCCTCCTTGAAGGCAGGGATTACAGGTATATACCATCACAGCTGCCAGAAGGATACCTCTTAAGAATCAGAAACCATAACTTTGCTCCAAACATTGGTTCCCCTATTTAGTGGCTAAGACCTTGGGTGATTTACTTGACATCATAAAGCCTTAAAGCTTCTTATGCAACAAATGAAGATATAATACTTATCACAGAAGGATGTTGGGACCTAATAAACTAAACAGACATACATTTATATTCAGATTCTTACCCTTCTCTCGGCTCTCAACCATTGCTTTCTTTTTCATTTCAGACCCTTACCATAACATTCAAAGCCACCCAACTGCTCTAACAATCCTCCTAGGTAGCTGCCACTCTCCGCTCTTCCTAACCCTGATTCTTATACTAGAGACCCCAACAGATATAACAGTAATATTGTCAATGTATACTGACCCTACCAACTCACCAGAAATAAAAATTTTAAACTTCTACCGAAATACCACTATGTATTGTATTAAAACTTTTGTTTGTTTGGGGGGGGTTGTTGTTGTTTGTTTTTCTATTTATTTTTCAGACAGGGTCTTCCTGTAGCCCCAGCTGGCCTGGAACTTGCTATGTAGATCAGGCTAGCCTCAATCTCACAGAGAATGGCCTGCCTCTGCCTCCCCAGTGCTAAGATTAAAAGCATTTACCACCGGTACATTGGCTTAAACAGGTTTCTTAGCTAGTCCCCCAACCTTGTCATGTCACAATATCAGAGATGGCCTAACAAGAACAGATAATTTACAAATGCTATCTGTAGTATAATAAAAAGCCAGGCTCAAAATATGTTATTCACTAGCACAAGATAAATCCAATCTCTACCTCCCAAGTGGTAGAATTGCATGTGTCAGCCATTAAATCCAGCAAATGTTTTGACCCAATGTAGTATGCTAAGAAAAGCTGTGTCTGAAACATCAAAGATAATCAAGCGCTGGGCTATAAAGTTTACCAATGACAGTAAGTAAATTTATGCCCAAAACAAAAACGATAAACTACTAGTCTAAAAACTAAAGAGTTCCAAGACAGCTGGGGCTACAAGGAGACCCTGCCTCAAAAAAGACAAAAAAAAAAAAAAACCCTCAAGTTTTACTTTCAAATTAGTTATTCCTTGACTTTAGGCTAACATAATTAATTTTCCTTCATGAAAGTAAAAACAAAGTATTCCCAGACAAAAAGAATAAGAATTATATATAAAATTTGTGAATTTACATTTATTTTTATTTTTTGTCTTTTTGAGACAGGGTCTCCCTGTAGCCCCAGCTGGCCTGGAACTCACTCTGTAGACTAAGCTGGCCTTGAACTGACAGAGATACACCTTCCTCTGCCTCCCGAGTTCTGGGACTAAAGATGTGCACCAGCACACCCAGCACTAATTTTTTTTTCTTCTTAATTTTTGGCAGAGTTTCTCTAGACCCAGGCTGCTTGGAAATCACTAAGTAGAGCAGGCTAGCCCCGATCTCATGGTGATGCCCCTGCCTCTGCCTCCTGAGTGTTAGGACTAAAAGCATGCGCCACCACGCCCATTGTGAATTTACATTTTAATATTTCTTGGGTTTATATCTATATATGATAACAGTAACTAGCAACTACTGAGAATCTTCTGTTACAGATACTTACTGAAAACCAATCTATATGTGTTTCTCAAGTTTCTACATGTGCTGCAAGCAGACACACTGACTTTTTATTCAGGACCACCTTTGGAAGGATGTTTGTACAATACAGCAAACAGCCTAGATGGATATAATGTCTCCCTCTGGAGCAAGTGCAGACATCTATTATAAAACCCAGGCTCCGCCAGGCATGGTAGCACACCCCTTTAGTCCCAGCACTCAGAAGGCAGAGGCAGGCGGATCTCTGTGAGTTCAAGGCCAGCCTGGTCTATATAGTGAGTTCCAGGACAGCTGGGGCTATAGGGAGACCCTGTCTCAAAAAGACCAAAAAAATAAAAATGAAACCTAGATTCCTCCCCTGGGTCACAGCTCACTGTGGGGACTGAAGCTTAGAAAATGAGCACAAAACAAATGCTCATACTCTGGGTATTGCTACTGCTATGAGCAACAATCCTCTACCTCTGATCTAGGACTCTCATGCTTTCTGCTGCCACATAAGAAAATGTGACAGATGGGAGCTAGAGAGACAGCTCAGCGGTTAAGAACACTAACTGTTCTTACAGAAGACCCAGGTTCAATTCTCAGCATCCACACGGCAGCTAACAACTGTCCGTAACTCTAGTTCTAGGGGATCCGATAGCCTCTTCTGTCCTCCACGGGCATTGCATAACACGGGTGTACCTAGACCTACAGGCAGGCACTACACTCATACCCATAAAATAATAAAAAAAAATATTTTTTAAAAAAAGAAAATGTGACAGATAGGCAGGGGACATGGCAGGCAAACCTGTTAGACTGCAAGTAAGGTAGAAATCTCAGATCCTTCAAGGTTGCAACAATACAAAGTAGATATTGCTATTGCTGTTTTATAGTGGAGGAGGAGGATGAACTTTCAAGAGATTAAATTAGTATAATTATAAATGTCAAACCTCTATCTGCATCCAAAGCCCAGGATCTTTATACTCAGTCAAGGCCTAAATAAATTTACCTTAAGTCCTGTATGGTTTCCAAGTTCTTATTTACAATATCAGCTATTTCTCCCATTAATGGACTAAACTGCAAACGCTGATCAGCTAGGCAAGTGGAAAATGTTGACAGCGCATTAATATCAAACCTAATAAAAAGAAATATGAGATCACTACTATTAATTAAAATACATGACACAGTTCCCAAATAAAAAGCAACACAAATGCTAATATATTCCTAATGTAACATGAATTTTTTTTCAAGGGCTGAGGGAGTAATTCAGTGGTTGAGTGTGTGCCTAGCATAGAAAGAAAAGATGAGAGGGAGGTGGACCTAGGAGGAGTGGGAGGGTGAACTTGATCAAAATACACTGTATGAAATTCTCAGAGAATAAAAATATATTTTCTAAATTTTATGTGTATGAGTGTACTGCCTGCATGAATATAAGTGCACCTGTGGTATATAATGCCCACAAAGATCAGAAGAGGACATTGGATCCCTGGAACTGAGTTGAGACAGTTTTTAGCTGCTATGTAGGTGCTGGGACTTGAACCCAGGTCCTCTAAGAGAAGTCAGTGCTCTTAACTGCTGAACCATCTCCCCAGCCCCCCAAATATATTTTTAAAAGATTAATTTTTCCAAGATGAGTTGATTATTATTATAAAAGCACCAGATGATCATAATTTTTAAACAGTCCAAAACTTCAGAAAGATTTAAAACAGAAAGTCACACAGGGCATGGTAGCACAACACCTTTAATCCCAGCACTCAGGAGGCAAGGCCAGGCTAGTCTAGAGTGAATTCCAGGCCAGCTGAGACGACAGGGAGATCCTGTCTCAGAAAGACAAAAAAAAAAAAGAGAAAGTCACTCATTATTTGAATTTTACCTATTAATTTTTTGAGGTGTCAAACAATGTTGATCCAATTTCTTCAAGTAAATGGCAAAATAAAAAAAGAATTATTATGTATTTTGATTTTTTTTTTATTTTCTTTGCCTTTTCAGTAGTGCGGGGGATCAAATCCTGCCTTGCATATACTTGGCAAGCACTCAACCACTGGGTTACCTCCCTGGTACCTGATTTTCCATTTGTTGTTGTTGTTATTTATTAAAAGCATAAGAAAATTTGTAGCAACATAGTACATAATAACAAAAATTGCAGCCAATCCAAATAATTATTTACAGTACAATGGATAAATTCCACATATCCAGAGAAACATAATAAATAAAATAGAAAGGACTACTGAATCACACAACATTACACATGAATCCTTAAAACATATTAAGCAAATCAGACATCAGGGTATATACTATAGATTTGATTGCTATAAAAAACAAAACAAAATTTTGGTGTTATTAGTCAAGATCCTTTTGCAGGGTTAGATGACTTGGTGAGTCTTGAAGGTACTTGCCACCAAGCATGATGATGTTAAGTTTGAGTCCCAGAACCCATATGGCAGAAAGAGAGAGAACATGACTCCTGAAAGTTATCCTCTAACCTCCACACATGAGCACTGGTACACACATGTGCCATACCCTCACTCCCTCAGCACGTAAAATAAATAGATAAATGTAAAAAACAATAAAGAAAGTCAAGATTGTTTGGGTCTTTGAAGATTTATTTCTATTTGTATCTCTCTGTGTGTGCAGCATGAGTGCAAGTGCCCTCAAAAGCCAGAGGTGTCCTATTCCCCTGGAGTTGGAGCTACAGGAGGCTGTGAGCAACCAAAGTGGGTGCTGGGAACTGAATTTGGGTCTTTTGGAAAAGCAGCAAGTGCTCTTAACTGATGGGATAGGAGACGAAACTAGAAGAGACTATAAAGGGATCTTCTAGGAAACTGGTAATACTGTTATATTTTTTTTTGTGGGACAAGATCCTATTCTGTAACCCAGGCTAGCCTGGAACTCACTATATAGCCCAGGCTGGCCTAAAACACACAGCAATCCTTTTACCTCAGACCTCCCAAGTACAAGGATTACAAGCATGAATCATCATGTTCAGCATGATAGTGTTTCTATTTATTTTTATTTCTTATTATTGTGTGTGTGTGTGTGTGTGTGTGTGTGCCCCATATAATATCTGTGGTAGTCAGAGGACAACCTATGGGAGTCATTTTCTCCGTCTATCATATAAGGCTCAGGGAACAAAACCAGATCATCAGGCTTAGCAACAGGCACCTTTACCAATCATTGTGCCATCTTGCCAGCCACTGTTTCACAGCTCTTAAAACCTTCCTGTCTCTTTCCCACCTTGATTTTTCCTTCCCTTACTATCATTTACCTTAATCCACTATCACAAATTCCTAGCTTGAAAATTTTGAAGTTTTCCAAAGCTGTCCTAAAATGAGCTGTTATTGTCTCAGTTCTCTTACATATATACGAACAACCTTCCACATATATTTGTAGAATGTATCTCCCTATATTCGCAAGAATACCCTGAATGATGACAATCATTATGACATGTTAAAATACAGCTGTATAGTCTAGAAAGTACATTTGAATCAATACTGACCACAGTAGTGGACCTGAAGCTCACTTTCTTTAAAAAGTTCACCTATAACTGTTGGTCACTACCTAGTCACAGAAAAGGAGTGACAGAACCGGAAGTTACACAGGCCCCTCAACAGTACTTCATGGCCTTCCAATTCCACTAAAATGGTTTCTTTTTTCTTCTCTATGGACTTTGCAATCTAGGTTTGTTTGTTTTTTAATTGTGGGCCAATCAGAATTCTTCCAGAGTCAAAGCACCTAGTTCATGAATATCTATGACTCTACTGTATTCATATTTTGACTAAATGTATTTGGAAAGCATAGCCTGCTCTCAGTTAAAGAGAGAACATCTGAAATACTTACTTTTCTCCATTAAAAAAAAAAAAAAAAGAAAGAAAGAGAAATATACTTAACACAATCAAAAACCCTCAAACTGGGGCTGGAGAGATGGTTCAGCGGTTAAGAGCACTAATTGCTCTTGAAGAGAACCCGGGTTCAATTCCCAGTACCACATGGCAGCTAAGAATCATCTTTAAATCCAGTTCCAGGGGAATCTGATGCCCTCTTCTGACTTCCGAGGCATTGCACGACGTGGTGCACTCATATACATGCAGGCAATAAACTCATACACATAAAATAAAAATAAAATATTTTTAAAATTTTAAAGAAAAAACCCTCAAACTAAAATTTTTTTTTTCTGGCTAGGAAGCAGAGGGGCAGATCTCTGTAAGATCAAGGCCAGTCTGGTCTACATAGTGAGTTCCAGGCCAGCTGGGACTACAGAGAGACCCTATCTCAAAAAGACATAAAAAAAATTATTTTTGAGGCAGGGTCTCATATATCCCAGGCTAGCCTCAAACTTGTTATGGAGGTCAAGGATGATGACCTTGAATTTCTGTCTCTATTTCTGCCTCCTGCCTCTTATCTCCAGAGTACTAGGATAAAGCCATGCACTACCACGGCTAATTTAATACAGTACTGGAGATCAAACCCAGGGCCTTATGAATGTTAGACAAGTATTCTACCAACTAAGTGACATACTGGGCCCAAATGTACTTTTTTCCTGTAAGATTTCACTCTTTTCCTCCAAGATTTCATTTTGATGACCATGAAAAGAATAACCCTAATCTTATAAGACAAACCCAAGAGTACTTGCCTTTTTAGTCTTTTCCATGCTTCCGAAACTAGTGCTTCAACTACTGGGTCATGGGCCTCAACAGCAAACCTCAATAAAAACAAGAAAAAATAATTTTCCACACATAGAACTTTTTTTTTTTTTTTTTTTTTGTCTTTTTGAGACAGGGTCTCCCTGTAGCCCCAACTGTTCTGGAACTCAGAGCTGGGCATGGTGGCCCACATTTAATTTCAGCTACTTGGCAGGCTGAGGGAGAAGCCAGTCTAGTCTAAATGGTGTGTTCCAGGCTAGCTAGGGCTAGGAAAGCAAGACCTTATTACAAAAGAAAAAAAAAAAGCAAAAAAAAATTTATTTTTTGGTCTTTTTGAGACAGGGTCTCCCTGTGGCCCCAGCTAACTTAGAACTCTCTATGTAAATCAGGCTGGCCTCAAACTTGCCTCTGACTCCCAAGTGCTGGGATTAAAGGCATGCACCACTATGCCCAGCTACAATAAATATTTTAGCGAAAAAATGAACTTCAAATCGGGTGTAGTGGCACACACCTGTAATCCCAGAATTTGGAAGATACAGGCAAGAGGATCAGAAGTTCAAGGCTAGCCTTGGTTACACAGAAAGTTTAAGAGCAGCCTAGGCTACCTGTGACTTTGTCCCAGAAGAAGCTACAACAGGCTAGGAAGATGGCTCAATAGTAAGGTCCCAATGAACAGTCTTTATTCCTGCTCTGGCCTTATTTCAGTATTCTAATTTTTCACTTTTTTTCTGCTTAAGAGTTATTACTGGGAAATGAACTACTATTTCAATAGCCCCTAAAAAAAATTATGGAAGCCAAAAGATAGATCAACAAAAATACAATTTACTAACCACTGATTTATTAGACATTAACCTGAAATTTAATTATTTACCTCTTTTATCCTCATTGACTTCAAACACATTTCCACAACATTCCACAATAATCCAGTCTCATATATCCAATGCCAGACACGTTTACTTTCCTAATTTTTAAAAAATATTTTATTTTAGCTGGGCGTGGTGGCACACACCTTTAATCCCAGCACTCCGGAGGCAGAGGCAGGTGGATCTCTGTGAGTTCAAGGCCAGCCTGGTCTACATGGTGAGTTCCAGGACAGCTGGGGCTACAGGGAGACCCTGTCTCAAAAAAAAAAAGACCAAAAAAAAAAATTTATTTTTATGTCTATTCATGTACTGCCTGCATGTGTGTAAGTGCACCCATGTCATGCAATGCCCACGGAGGTCAGAAGAGGGCTTCAGATCCCCTGGAACTGGAGTTAGAGACAGTTGTTAGCTGCCATGTGGGTGCTGAGATTCGAACCTGGGTCTTCTGCAAGAACAGCCAGCGTTCTTACCCCCTGAGTCATCTCTCCAGCCCCCTATTTCTTTTGTAATTTTTAAACTGTACTACCTGGCATCAAAGATTATCCTTCAAACATCTTTAAAATACCACATTATCAGGAAAACTATCTTCTGAAATTTTTTTTTTATTTTAATGAGATTCTTAGAAAACTGAAATATAAACTATAACCATTTCCACAAAATCTAAAAGCGACTTACTGTCTTATGATGTATAACACATTCACCAGGGTGTCATTGTTCATAGAATTGATGCGATTTGCAGCAGCCTTACAAAGCCTGAGGAACTGGGGATGGTCTTTGACCGGAGCACTGTTTCTTATCAAGCTGATCTTCTGCATCCGAATCTGCTGAAGTGCGTTAAGTGCACATCCCACTTGCTTTTCTGAAAGTGTATCTTTGTTCCTTTCAAGAAGATCAAACACTTGCTTTTCGTCCGCACAGTTATTCATCTGAATAATAAACGATTCATAACTGAAGGGCCGTAACTGAAACACTCTCCTAGAGACTAAGATGCCTCTTAGACGGAACATATTTATAGCCGATGAGTCTCCAAACTTTTTTCCCTTTATATCACAATTTTTCTTTGGTAAAGAAATCCATCTGCAACTAGTAGTCGGGTGTAATATGCTGGTATAAAAATAACTGGCTTTCCTTCATGTGTTTTGTTTCCATCTTGATGGCTCTAAATAAAATATCTTAGAGCTGGTTTACCATGGTTATTCTTACTTCATTAATATCAATTTCCAAAATTAAAATTTCAAGTAACTTTTTTTTCTCTTTTGGCATCAACCACAGACTTTTAGTCTGAACCAGATAGCAGGATTTGGAGAAAAGTCCAAAAAAGAGGTAGCTTCCTGTATCCAACTAAAAATGCTTTCGAATTTGAAGATAAAAAAAAAAAAAAACACAACTGTCTTTTAGGGTATTTGCTTGCTTGTTTGTAGACCCAACCTCTCAAAGACTACAATAAATTACAATTTTAAATTACATCCCTAGGTCGGCCTTCGCAGTGACCTTGAGGAAACAAACAACTAAAGGAGGGGCCTTGGGCATGTGACCGACAGGTACAGGAGGTGGTGCGCGGGCACGTGGAGGTCGCAGGTGACAGGGGTCCTTGGCATCTGGCACTCAGGAGGGCTAACCCAAAGCGAACGCGGCCTCCACGAGCCGGGTTGGCAATGGGCTCCGGCTGCCCCCTGAAGAGAGCCCAACACCCGCAAAGAAGGCTTGGTTTCTAAACTGCACCGTCTGTCCGGCCCGGAAATGTGCGGGGTGGGGAAAGAGAAGCCGACGCCCCCTGCCCCGACTTGCCGGTGAGTTCTTCCTACACGCCACGGACTTTCCAGTGGATCACGGAGGGCTGCTCTGGCCCTCTCAGAAGTCTGGTCCCCACAGCGGCGGCAGTAGGCTCACTTCTCCCGCTCACCCCTCTTGTCCCAGGCTACTTAGCCTTTCCGGGAAAAACAACATCTTTCCTCAAGAGCCGAAAACCGGAGGTCCAAAACCAGCGTGCACCGGAAAGAGCTCTCACTACACATCCCAGAGGGCACCGCTTGGGGCGTGGGCGGGCCTTATGCGCGCATGGAATTCTGGGCTTGGTAGTTTCTTCCCCATTGACAGGCTGCTTTCTGATTGGAGGAGTTACAGATCCTTCAGCTCAGTGAGTCTCTAGTTTTGAAGGTGTTTCTCAGATCTTGGAACACTGAAATATTTGTAATATACACTACAAAATATTTTATTGTTATTGTAGTAGTTGTTATTGCCATTATTGTTTGAGACAAGGTCTCTCTGTGGCCCCAACTGACCTGGAACGTGCTATGTAGACCAGGCTAGCCTTTCTCTTACAAAGAAATCCCTGCTTCTGCCTCCAGAGTGCTGGGATTAAAGGCATATGGAACCACGCCCATTATTTTAAGATTTATTTTTGTTACTTTTAATTATATGCGTATGTGCAAGTGAGGTATCAGATCCCCCCTGAAACTGGAGTTACAGGTATTATGAGCACAACACAGGTACACTTACATACATGCAGGCAATACACTCATACACATAAAAATAAATATTTGTAAATTTTAAAAATAAAATTAAAATGGTCGTCTTTTCTTTAAATTCATATTTATTTTTATGTGTATGAGTGTTTTGCCTACATGTATATAATCCTACCACATGTGTTGTACCCCATCCACTGGACCCCAAAGAGACCACCTCGAGAACCCAACACACCAAAATGCAAAAGCAAAGGTTTATGGTTTATTCGGGCTTAAGCTCGGGCTCTCAGACCTCACCAACTCAACGGATCCAGAGTAAGGGAGAGTGGAGCCTTTTATAGGTTTAGACAAAAAGGGAGGGGGAGATACCAAAGATACATTTTGGTTGGTTCAAGGAGCCCGTGCGCGCCAACATAATTTTAAACCGATTGGATGTATAAGATGCAGCCCTGGAAGTTTCTTATTGGTAGGTGCTATTCTCAGGGGTATGGAATGTGCTGACTGTTACCTGTGGGGCCAGGAGTCTCCGTTTTTACCTTATAGGACAGTTTTTATGCTCGGGCTTGGTTAATCCATAGTTTCCTGGAAGGGGGGGAATAGCAGATGGGAGTCAGGGCATGCCAGGGCGTGTTTAGGCATGTCTAAAGCAGCAGCCAAGCATTTTACAGAAGCTAAAAGAGCAATTAGTGGGGGGTCTGGAGGGATTGAGGGGTAGCGGGTGAATGAAGAGGGTCTCAGGGTTCTACACATGCAATGAATGAAATGCCTTCAGAGGCCAGAAGAGGGTGTCTGATTCCCTAAAAATGGAATTATGGACTGTTGTTAGCCATCATGTGGGTATTGGGAACCGAATCCAGGTCCTCTGCAAGAATAACCAGTGTGCTTAACCACCGATCCATCTCTCCAGCCCTGCAATGACCAATTTCTTAAAACATGGTCAATTTTACTGGTAGTTAGGAAATTGAAAGATGATATTGGTCTTTTACCTAATAAATTGCAATGCTAAAAAGATTACATACAATCCTTGGTGTAGGAAACAAACATATGAACTTGAAGTGTTAATCTGGCATTTCAGGTTGCAATTAAAAATGTGTTAGAGGGGCTGGAGAGATGGCTCAGCAGTTAAGAGCACTTGCAGAGGACCTGGATTTGAATCCCGGAACCCACATGGTGGCTAACAACTGTCCTAACTCCAGTTCCAGGGGATCTGACTCCCTCTTCTGACCTCTGTGGGCATTGTACAACATGGGTTCACTTACATACATGCAGGCAATACACTCACATAAAAATAAAAAATAATAAATAAAATATTTTTAAAATATAAAAATAGCCGGGTGTGGTGGTACACCCCTTTAGTCCCAGCACTTGGGAGGTAGAGTTAGGTGGATCTCTGTGAGTTCGAGGCCAGCCTGGTCTACATAGCGAGTTCCAGTCAGCTGGGGCTACAGGGAGACCCTGTCTCAAAAAGACCAAATAATACAAATAATAATAATAAATAATTTTTTTAAAAGGAAAGGAAAACTCATGAAAAGATCCTATAAATTGCATCAACTACTCTCTATCAGAAAAGCAAAGCTAAGTATAGTATATGGATGGAGTATGCTACCTGACACAGCCCTCTATAACTACAGTCATTCTCTATGAGCCATCTAGTCTTCTTGTCCTGGCATGCTGTCAAATATCTCCCACCCCTGACCAGCTTGGCAGAGCCAGCTCAGAGCTAAAGGGAAATGGGATTGTATGCTTACCTGCTATTACTGATTCTGCAGCCAGAGTCCCACTTCTGATAGGCTTCAGGCTGGCAGTATGGGTGGCTGTTGCCTGTCCTTCAACCATACCTGGCTGCTGTAAAGACTTCCAGCTGAGCACCCCCTAGATTCTTTCTTACAGAGGTGAAACATAAACAGCATATTCTGGGGGGATACCTACCCACCTCTAAGACAAGCTTAATCTTTTTCACCTGTACTACTCTGTCTCCCATTCCTTCTTACAGCTCTTTGGAGGACTGTTATTTTCCAAGGGGGCTTATAAGCACTGTCTATTTTTATTTTATTTATTTATTTATTTATTTATTTATTTTTATTGGTCTTTTTGAGACATGGTTTCCCTGTAACCACAGTTAGCCTGGAACTTGCTGTGTAGACCAGGTTGGCCTTGAACTCACAGAGATCCACCTACCTCTACCTCCCAAGTGTTGGGACTAAAGGCACACACCACCACGCACAGCTATAAGCACTTTACTTAGCTTCTTGTCAATTTTTTCTCTAGAAACTACAGCACAACATAAATCTTGTAACATTTGCTTTTGAGTGACTCAGAGAAGCTTCATCAACTGCTTTTTCCCTTTTTTCCCTCATTCTGTCCTGATTGCCTGAGCATGAACCTTACTTACATGTTAGTCTAAATTATTCAGATCTCCTACCTTGAAAAATCATGTCCCATCATGGGCTTGGCAAAGCCACTAACATCCCATATCAGTCCCGAGATCCATGCTGAATTCTTTTTAACTTTCTTGTGAACATAGATCTATCCTACCTGATTAATAGCACATCAAACACCATCCCTCTAATGCTGAGTAATACCTGTATTTCCTCTATTTTCTTCTAGTCCCTAATAATCATAGGAACCTAGGGCAAGAATAATCAAATGGGAAGCTGGAGAAATGGTGCAGCAGTTAAAAAAAGCACTGGCTGCTCTTGCAGAGGACCTAGGTTCAGTTCCCAGCACCCACATGGCAGCTAACAACCATTCCTAACTCCAGTTCCAGGGGATCAGATGCTCTCTTCTGGCCTCTGTGGGCATTGCATGCATGTAACACATTTACATGTAAGTAAAACATACACATGAAATAAAAATAAATAATTTTAAAGTATTTTATTTATTATTTTTATTTTTTACGTGTATGAGTGTATTACCTGCATGTGTGTAAGTGCACCCTTGTCATACAATGCCCATGGAGGTCAGAAGAAAATATCGGATCCACTGGAACTGGATTTATAGACAGTTGTTAGCTGCCATGTGGATGCTAGGAATCAAACCCAGGTCCTCTGCAAGAGCACTCAGTGCTCTTAACTGCTGTGCCATCTCTCCAGCCCATAAATAATTTTTTAAAAGAATAATTAAATGTCCCTAATGGTTCATATGAGCTAGTCCATAAGGGACTGACTTCCTTCATATTGCTTCAGATTATGAATCCTTTCTCTGAAGGAGGGATAATAGTTACATTACTCAGTTTCTCCACTTTCACAGTATTCATACATCCCATCCACCCTGATGTGCCACAGCCTCTCAAGTCAGGCTGTGAGAGGCTCTTTCATTTCTTGTTTTAAAGCCTTTCCCAATTCAAGCAGTTCAGAGGCAGAGTGTTCACTGATGATCACAGTTTTCTCTACTGGGCCATTACTAAGCCCCCTACCTACATATTAAAACATGGATTTCCACTTCCTCTGTGTTAAAGGTCATACTTCAGGGGCCTACTACCATTTCTACTTCCTTGCTATCTGACTCTTCCACAAGTTGGGTTCCAGGAAGGGATCTAGAACAGATCTAATTTGTATTGTCTTTTCCCTATGCCTGCCAGCTGTAAGAAATGGCAACTGTGCTGGATAACTTCAGTTGTCAATTTGACACATCTGGGTAGATGGAACCTCAATTGAAGAATACCTTTCATGGGATCCCTCTCTGTGGGGCAATTTCTTAATTACTGAGTGATGTAGGAGGGTACAGCCCACTGTGGGTATGGTGGTCCTGTATTGTTTAGAACAGGCTGAACACAGGCCAGAGGAGCAAACCAGTAAGCAGTGTTCCTCTGTCTGTGGTCTGTGCTTCAGCTCTGCATCCAGGTTCCTGTCCTGACTGTGATCTGGGAGATATAAGATAAAATAAACCCTTTCCTCCCCAAGTTGGTTTTGGTCAGTGTCTTTGTTGTTGTTGTTTGTTTTGTTTTTGTTTTTGTTTTTTGTTTGTTTTTGATCTTTTTGAGACAGGGTCTCCCTAAAGCCACAGCTGGCCTGGATTCCCTATGGAGACTGCCTCCCAAGTGCTGGGACTAAAGGCATGCACCACCATGCCCGGCCTCATTAATTTTTTTTAATATTTAAATTTTTTGTTTTTTTTTTATGTGTATGAGTGTATTGTCTGCATGTATGTAAGTGCATTCATGTTGTGCGATACCTGCAGAGATCAGAAGAGGGTGTTGGATCTCCTGGAGTTACAGACAGTTGTTAGCTGCCATGTGAGTGCTGGTAACTGAACCCAGGTCCTCTGCAAGAGCAGCCATCTCTCCATTCCCCAGACAATAATTAAATTTTAAACATTTATGGAGGGGTAGGAATGTAGTCCAGTTATACAGCACTTGTCTAACAGGTAGGAGGCCCTGGATTCAATTTCCAATACTACTAAAATCAAACCAAGACAAAACATCAACACGTCTGTGGGTTCAGGTGTGGCAGTATATACTTGAAATCCCAATGCTTGGGAGGTAGAAGAGGAGGATATTCAAAGATATAATTGACATTATAGTGCATTTGAGGCCAGTCTAGGTTACCTT